ATTGACGTTGGTTGTGTGGCATGTTGCACCGTCTTGTTGGAAATAAACATCGTCCATATCCATTCCTTCAAGTTGCGGCAAAAAATAGTCCTCCATCATCACGTGATATCGCTCTGAATTGACGGTAACGGCGTCCCCGGCCGCATTTTCGAAAAAGTAAGGTCCGATGATGCCTTTTGACCACAATACACACCACACAGTCACTTTTTGAGGATGAATCGACTGCTCTTGATACTCACGGGGATTTTCGTTCGCCCAGATGCGGCAGTTTTGCTTGTTTACCGTCCCATTCAAAGTGAAATGCGCTTCGTCGCTGAACATGATTTTTGATGAAAAAGTGGCATCAATTTGGCGGTGTTCAAGGAGCCAATCTGAGAACGTTCGGCGCGAAAAATGGTCGGCCCGACGCAGCTTTTGCGTCAATTGGATCTTGTAGGCGTGTACATTCAAATCCTTGTGGAGAATGCGGAGCAAACTGGTTCTCGAAATGCCAAATTCTTGGGATCGACGCGTTGTTGATTGTTTCGGATCGTCTCTCACACTCTCCTTCACAACAGCAATATTTTCCGGTGTGTGAACGCTCCTTGGCCGGCCAGAGCCTGGCAGATTTGCCACAGAACCTGTTGCCTCGAATTTACGCACCAGGCGACCGATGGTTGTTTCGTTTGGGCGGTTGTTGCGACCGAAATGTTCACGAAGCGCGCGAAACGTGTTTTTTTATTTTTGCACCATTTTTGTAGTGCTCTTGAATAACTTTAATGCGGTCTTCAATCGAATACGACTCCATAGCGATCAATGGTAAACATTCAACTATCAAAATGACATGTCGGTGACAGAAAACAAAGATGGCGTCTATGTCAAATTGACGTTTACTTTCCTGCGTCCCTATTGGACAACCCTTTAGTACAGTATTATGACATGAACATGTTAATCCTGCTCCACAGAACATACTAAAATATAGGTAATGTAGAAAAATGGAGTTATCTTGTTTTTACAGTGGAGAGACGCTCTATTGTGGAGCTAAAGCCGTTTAAGCTATAGCCTATGAAATAGAAATTACAGGGTTGTTTTGTATAAAATTTTAATGTAGCCAGTGTCACTCGCACCGCTAAGACGAATCCAACGACACCTCATATGTGAAAATCTATCAAGCCGTTTGATCTGTAGCCTATGAAGTAGGAATTACAAGGTTGAAATATTTTATTAAAATACACCATTTTGTTTATTATAAAATTTCAATGTAGCTAGGTCACTCGCACCGCTAAGACGAATCCAACGACACCTCATATGTGAAAATCCGTCCAGCCGTTTGGCCTGTAGGTGAAAATATGCACGTTATCCATATCAGCCCAAATGATAATCACTCTCCGCGTGACGTCATGCGCACCGGCGGACGAAAATCGAACAGCGGAGCATACGGGCCTGCACAGCGACGATTTCAAAACCATTTTAACGTCGGTCGGCATGGTCACTCTTGAGGCTCTTTCGGAAACCATAACGCGCGAAATTGAAAGGAGTCCTCGTGCTTTGCTCGAAAGTAGTATTGACGATTTTTGCAATCCGTCTCCAAGAATGCATCGACAAGAATAGACGCCACCTAACTGATGTAATTTTTCGCACCCGACTATGTTATGTATACTTAAATGGCAACATTCCACTAATGTATTAAAATAATACATTTTGATATATGTTTAAAAATGAAAGTGTGTAAATTTTTTCAAAAACACAATACTTCATTGCCGGACCCTGTATTACAATTAGTTTTCTAGAATACTATATGAAATAATTATTTCCAGGAAACGGAAAACGATTTATTATCTTTCACATTGCCAGTGAGATTGGCTTTGTGCCCACTGCCCTATGGGCATTTGAGTCAAAGAAAACCACCGACTACCATGAAGAAATGGAGTTCATTTGAACGATGATTTGAAGAATCGCTCCCAAAGCTTGACGACAATACCGTCATTGTACTTGATAATGCTGCATACCTCACTAGAAAACTAGAAAAACATCCCACAATGTCCACAAGAAAGGCAGAAATTCAACAAAGACATGGCCAAAGCAGAACTCATCCATCTAGTCTGGCAGCACAAATATAAATATAATCTTAATGTTATTGACGAAATGGCTAAAAACCAAAATAAGACCGTTTTAAGACTACCCCCTTATCACTGCGAATTAAATGCTATTGAAATGATTTGGGCAAATATAAAAAACTATGTGGCTTCAAACAATAGGACATTCAAAGTTTCTGACGTGAAAATTTGGTTGAGTAACGGCAAACCATTGGAAAGATTGTATCCGTCATGTTCAAGAGACAATCGAAACAAAGATGTGGGCTCTGGACAATTTGACCTATATCCAAATTGAACCTGTAATAATTAATATTAACCATTCGGACGATGATTCAAGTGTGAAAAGTATGTGCACTTCTTTCTATAAAAATAATCATTTATTTTGTTACATTATTCCAAGACCGTTGAGGAAAAGACGGGCCTGTACAATCTCGCTTTTGCGCATGTTGTGTTTTGTCTGGGCGTAAATAGACTACGAATGGGGTATAGGGACCGTTCAGATGCTATTACCCGGCGCACACAGTGCGTGCACCATCAGTACTCGATCATTCAGATGATTCGATCTTTTGGTCGTACATATCGTTCAGATGATAAGCTAGTTGACATTTTTTTAAGTAAGTCTTATACAGCTAATATTTGTTATACTAGACCAAAATAAAACTATATTTGTTTAGATCTAAAAGATCGTAAAACTTCTTAGAAAGGTGAAAACGCTGACAGCGATTATTGCCTCGTATACAGAGAAATTCATATATCACTGACGCCCTAATGTGTACGAGAGAGAAGCGTGCAGTAAGTGTTAGAAAGAGATAGAAGCGCCCTCTTTCTGACATGCGTACTGCACGCTTCTCTCGTACAGAATACGACGTCAGACAAGTTTGAACCTCTCCGCATTAAGCTGCTCTGATGTCGTACCATTTGTAAACAGCAGCTGACAGCAGCATAACCTCTCAAACTTTTAAACATATAACTATGACTTCTACTAGTTTACATGAAAACGTAGTATGCAATTATTGTTATTGTATCGGCCGAGAAAATAAAAGCACATCAATAAAGACCCCAGGAAAGCTGTGGATTAGTGCCCACAACAGCATGTTCAGAACAGTTGCGGGTCCAGAAACAAAATACGAGTATAACGAAAATGCCGAAGACCGACACGATGCAAAAACTAGCCACGGGGTAATGTCGCAACGCAATGACGGCCGGTCTTTCTAGACGCTGGGCAAGAAGATTGGATGGAGCTTCTGAAAGAATGGCTTTCGATAGGTTACATGCCATGGTAGATTCCAAGGCTAATGCTGAAGTGCTTGGCAAGATCTTTGCTGCCAATGCCACCATGCTCCCAACACCCGAATGCTGTCGATTCCAAAGGTTCAATACAGCAGCGGGAAGTAATCTACAGTCATTAAATCGCCAGACTTGATTCCTACTAATGTACTGAAGAGATGTGCAGCGGCAATCGCTCCAATTTTTTCAGATACCTTACGAATCTGTTACTTTCGGGTACAGACATACAGCTCTGCTTTCTGTGATAAGCAAAGCAATGGAGATGGGCATCAATCTGGAGCTTCTGGAGTATCTCGAGCATCATCGCTTGACTAGCGACAGGCGGTATAGTTTCTGGCACCAGCGCTCAACAGTGGACCTGCTAGGTTACGTCACAACTGTGAAGTAAACTCGTCCAGTCTTATGATGAGGCTCATGTCGTACGTCTTGATACCAAGGTTTTCAATTAGCTGTAGTAAAATGCCCTCTTATGCAAACTTCCATCCTATGGCCTGTCAGATAAGCAGCTAGAAAACCCAAAAGAATCCTTCTAATATGTACTGGTGATACATTGAGGCCCATCAAGGCTTGCCGATTGGGTTTCAAGAATTTTAGTTCAATCACCTGGAAAAATCTTTTCAATCAGGGCAGTATGAAAATGCAAAGGTTTTAGTTGGTTGACCATCATGTGTACTAAAACCTACCTGCTCTTAATCTTCCATCCAAGTACAGGATGCGTCATCTATTACTTTTTTCTATTTTACGAGGTGAAATCGAATTTTTTTTATTGATAAATGAAGGTTGGTTTATGCCTTTTATGTATAAAAAATAACATCAGTCATGCGACCACCGCGGCTTCGTTTACAGGCCAACATCCGAACATCAAAATTTTCAATGGCTTTTCCCGGAATAATCGGGTCTATTTCCGCAATTTCAGTCCGAATATTGCGCGTTAGATCTTGAATTGTCCGGGGACCATTCGCATACACTTTTCCTTTCAAAAATCCCCAAAGAAAATAGTCAAGAGGTGTTAAATGGCGAAAGGTATTTTTTATATTTCGACCGTTTCTATAAGTTTGGATAACCAGAATGCGTTGTTGTGTTGTAAACGAATCAATCACTATAAATGGCATACCGTTGACAGTTCATTTATGCATACCATATGACTTTTCACTCACATGGTAACACATAAACTTATAGGTAAAAAAAAGTAATAGATGGCGCACCCAGTGCAATCGTTATAACGGTCTCGTATAGCTGGGATCTTGGGTGGCGTGGATCGCCGTCGGGATGTCGACGCTAGGCAACCAGAGTTACACGACTGGGCGTGATAGCTTGCGGGCTTTACCGAAGTTGAAGAATAATCGAGACCCCTCTGGAAGCATCTGCTGCCATCTACACCACTTTCGTGGAAGTTCGCAAAAACGCTGGAATGTTTCTCGACTCGTCGATAGGGGAATAAATACCCGACCAGATTGCGTGGTCAGTCACAGTCGACAAAGTCAATGGACAGCGACCGTCGCATCAATATAGTCCAGTCGACATGGTAATAAATATCTCATGAATTATTTGAAAGTGTTATAAATTAGTGTAGAGTGATAAATTAGAGTTTGAACAATGAAAAGGGTGTTTTCGTTACAATATTTTTTACAAAATTACCTTCCATCGGTTCATTATCGACGTTTAACCTCTTAGCATCTGCTTGTCCTTCCCTTAACGTTATCATAGCATTCAACCATGATACTTCAGATTCCTTAGCCTTCTGGAAATTCAATTGAGACACCAGCGCGTCCGTCAATCGCACCTGGTAAATGTGTGTTTCACTTGTGGCGTCAACAATTTCGCCCTTCTGAGGCGCAAAAGTCCTCGCACCTACCACCTCCCTGAAAACTCCGATTATGTGAATAGCTTCAATATTGAAATTAAACCTGAATTGATAGTGATATAAAACAAAATGTATTACCCATCAGACCAATATCTAGCAACCTAACAGATAGTTGATTGGACGGAAAGCAGCACTGCTAGATCTACGGCTTTTAGGAGGGATGTCTTTTAAGTTTTGCATATAGAAACATAGTAGGCCGCGCGGATCGAACGTCAGTACTGAATCTTAACCTCACTCTTCAGTAAAATTAAATTCAAAGTTTCACAACAATACGTGCAGTGTCCTCACTACAGTGAATTTTTAAGTGTCACCAAGTCATTAAATAAATGGAACTCAACCGAGAACATTTTCGCGCCATAATTTATTACAACTTTCAGAGACAATTATCGCAACAAGAATGCCTTGCTGAGTTAGTGTCTGTTTTCGGCAACGAAGCGCCACATCAGTCGACAATTTCCCGTTGGTATGGAGAATTCAAACGTGGACGGGTGAGTCTTAGCGACGATCCCAGGGTGGGTGCACCAAAAACGGCAGTTACCCAGGAAAACGTCAATAATGTGCGCAAACTCATCATTGAAGTTAGACATGTGACATATCGCACGATTGAGGTGTCCTTGAAGATCTCAAAGACCTCAATTCAAAAAATTTTACATGAAGAATTAGGAGTAGGAAAATTAGTTTCTCGTTGGATACCCCACCTGTTGACTGAAGAGCAGAAAGCAGCCAGGGTTAATTGGTGTCTAAAACGCTTGACCGTTTCAATTCCGGAAACTCAAAAAATGTGTAGAGCATTGTTAGTGGTGATGAATCGTGGATTTACTGTTATGAACCAGAAACTAAACGTCGGTTGTTTGGGTGTTCCAAGGCGAAGAAAAGCCAACAGAAGCCATCCGTTCTCGAAGTGTTTCGAAAAAGATGATCGCGACATTTGTGTCAAAAGCGGATCATATTGCAACAATTCCTCTTAATGAGCAAAGAACTGTTACTGCGGATTGGTATACCACCATTTGTTTGCCAAGTCATCACCGAGCTTCGAAAAATCAACCCCGAAAGAAGAATCATACTCCACTAAGACAATGCAAGCTCGCACACAGCCCAAAAAACAAGCAGTATTTAACGTAAGAAGACGTGGAATTATTGGACCATCCTCCATATAGTCCCGATCTAAGTCCTAACGATTTCTTTACTTTCCCGAAAATTAAAAACAGACTGCGTGGTCAAAAGTTCCAGTCACCGGAAGAAGCAGTTGACGCATTCAAAAATGCCGTTTTGGATCTGTCAGCAAACGAGTGGAATAAGTGATTCGAAAATTGGTTCGAGCGCATGCAGATGTGTATTAATATTCGTGGAGAATACTTCGAAAAACAATAAAGACATTTAAAATTTCCTCACGTATTGTTTTATTTCCTTATGAAAAACTTAAAAGACATCCCTCGTAGCCTCAAACTGTTACAGTAGTATAAATGACGTATTTAACGACGCATGAATCAGAAAAAAGCGACTATCATTTTGATTAAAAACCATACGGGGTGTTTCATACAGAAAAAAAACTATTTGATAGAACTTTTTTGACACGCCATGTTTATAAAATAGGCATTGCCTCACAAACTTGATACAGGGTGTCTGCGAAAGGTCGGGAAATCTCGAAGCTGGAGATACTACAGACCAAAATATGTTAATTGACCCAAACACACCTTAGTCTAAAAGTTGATAGCTTGCGACATACAGGGTGTCAAAGTTACAATTTTGTTTGCTATTTTTTTTTATTGCTTGAGAAGTATTTCAGATTTTGGTATAAAACTCGGTATAGGGAGGTTTTCTAGTATCAGAAACAAGAATCCGTTAATTTATGGCCAAACTTCTAGAGGGCATCACTTACAGCACTATTTCGGTAAATAACTTATCATAACATTTAAACATAAAAAGGGTTTACTTGTTAGGAGTGTCTAAAGCTAATAGTTTTATAAATATTTGTTTTTAAAAGTTCCGATGCATTATTTGTACCATGATGATAAAACATTTTTATAACATAATAATCAAGTTGCTTTGGATAATATCTGAGTAGCGTTGTAACAATAACAAATGAGGATGGCAACAAAACCAATAAACGGAAATAATAACTACAAAAATTGTTCAAAATTAGCACAAGATGCGTTTGGTGGAGGTGGCATTACTTTTTAGGCTGGGGTTATGCACAATGGTAAAACCGAAAGTTTATAAGGGCAACATTTTAAACAATATTGTTGTACCTGCACGGAGCTCGTACGGTTATAAACTGTTTGGCATTATTGCCTCTGCTATCAAAATCTCCAGGCCTAAACATAAGCATGTGTGGTTTTGGATAAAAATGTTATTGCGTTCAAGACAAAATGCTCCTCAAACAATGCAGAAGCTGTCTGCGGCCATTCAGGAAGAGTGGGAAAACGTATCCTGAGAATTTATTAATAACCTTCTGGAAGGTACCAACAATATTGCTTAAAATAACTGTTTCTGTTTTGTAAAATGTTCGTTTCTGTCACAAATAAATAATTAAGGTATTTAACGGGTCTTCAAATTTTTGTTTTCTAAAATGTTACGTATTGTTAATGTTAATCAATAAATTCTTTTATGTTGCTTAAAAATTTAATAGAGTCTATTACCTATTGGAATACATCTCCAATGAAGACGCGTACGCCAAATCTGAATGAGAAAGATAAAAATTTCAGATAAAAGATGAATAGCAGTGTTGGCCAGCATCACAGCATTTTGAAAAATAGTTTTTTTCAAGTTATTAGTAGGGATGTAACGGGTAGTAATTTCCGGGAACCGGCCAAACCGGGTACCCGGCTCTTTAGGATCCGGCTTCATGCCGGGTACCCGATTTAACCTGTTTCCTGCTTGCACGCTCTCGGATTTCCCACTACTCAAACTCAAAACATTCAAATTGAAAAAGAATTTTTTACACTTTTTTGCGAAACTGTCGGCCAAAGATTAGAATATGTTATCTTTTTTTGTTAAAGTGTTGGTAACTCTGCGAAAACCAGCTTGCCGTAGAACAAATGCACGGAGCAACGTGGATGTTTTGGGGGAAGACCAGACGTTGTCGCGTGAATCCCCGCGCCGAGAACAGGTGTATTGATCTGTGGGTGTATTATTGACTATTACTTTTTCACTCTAGTTACTTACCATCGAGCTTACTATTACAGTGGACCCCCGATAATCCGGCCCCTGTCTAATCCGACGCCCCCTGTAATCCGACATGCCTTTGAATATGTATTACATACATACGTATTTGACAATCTTCGCTAATGTAGATCACGCAGGTTTGAACAGGTTACAACTTGTACGCGCCACCGCTATCGTGCTCGACGCGTAAGCATTGTTTTACTTGGTTTGAATTTGACTACTGGTGATAGCGGTACGGCCTAGCGTGCGTTCATTGTTTACTATTTATTCATTGTGTATTAAGTATAGTACCTAGTAATGTCATCAAAAACTCAGAAGCGAAAGCACAAAACATTGACAATTAATGAAAAATGTGATATTTTAGACCGCTTAAATCGCAATGAAACTTTCAGTAGTTTAGCAAGTGAATACGGCGTAGGCCGATCTACAATTTATAACATTAAAAGAAACCACGAGAAGATGAAGGACTCCTGTTGGCCATGAAAGCTAAGTTTTTTTATAAGGAAATAACAAAAAAAGATGATTTTGTGGCCAGCAAAGGATGGCTAGAACGTTTTAAAAGTCGTCATGGCATACGTTCAATGACTATTACAGGAGAGAAACTTTCTAACGATGCCACCTGCATAGAGCCCTAGTAAAGAGCGTGTAACCATACTACCATGTGCTAAAGCTGCTGGCACACACGCGCTTAAGATGATGGCCATTGGGAAATCTAATAAACCACGGGCATTCAAAAACATTGATTTACCTGTACACTATTACGGACAAAAAAGTGCATGGATGACAAAAGACCTTTTCAAAAAGTGGTTTGATGAATGCTTCGAACCTGCAGTTAGAAAATGGTTAAGAGGTTATTATTTTCCTCAAAAAGCGTTGTTGCTTCTTGATAACGCTCCCGGTCATCCGTCTGAAGAAGAACTAACAACTGAGGATAAATGCATCACTGCGATGTTTCTTCCGCCAAATTGCACTGCACTGATTCAACCAATGGACCAGAATATTATTAAGTTTGTCAAGCAAGACTATAAGAAAAACCTACTTCTGAGAGCCGTATCAAAAGACCAACCAATAGAAAAAAGTTTAAAAGAATTTAATATGAAAGACTTGGTTTTTGCTCTTTGTCAGTCATGGAATGCGTTACCGTCATCAAATATTAAATCGTCTTGGAAAAAGTTATGGCCAGATATAGTCACCACTCCTAGCAACGTCCCAAAAATCAGTGTTACTTCGGAAATTATAGAACAAGTCGCTACTGAAACACAGATAAGTCCGGAAGATTTTTAAACCTGGTGCCGTGGAATGGATGAAGAGGAAAATGTTTTTCATGAAATGTCTGACGAAGAGATTATAAAAGAGGTTTCTAATTATACAATAAAAAATCAGGAAAATAACGACGACGTGATTGCAACTGCTCCACAAGTCACAGCACAAGACGCAATTAACGCCTTTGAGCTAGGTTTACAATGGGCTGAAGAGAATTGTACATCCTGCAACGAACTTTTGCTTTTGAGAAGACTGAGGGACAAAGCTCTGATCTCGCGTTATAACAACCATAACAAAAAAAAATGATGAATATTTCCAAGCTTCATAATTTGGTAAATTCATTAATGATTTTGATTAATAATTCTTGATTATTTTGGTACATATGTATGTGCATTTATGCTTAATTTTATGATAAAACGTAAGCTCTCTATTGTTATTTAATTTACTAAATTCGACATACTATGCATAATTTGTCGGATTACAAGGTACTCTTTTGTAAAAAATTCCGGACTATAGGGGGTCTTAGGCAGTGCTCTATAATCCGATAGTCTGACACTGCCCTGCATAATGTTTGTCGGATTACCGGAGGTCCACGTATATTGTTTAAGGTAAAAGTTAAAAGTGTTACTAGAGACTTATCGAGCGAGATTAGCCAATTTAAAAATGAACAAAGTGTGGGAACATTTTATAATTGATAATAAAGATGAATCAAAAGCAGTGTGTGGATTATGTGGCACAAAAATTCCTCGCGGTCTTGGAAAAAAAGCGAGTACATCATCTTTGTGGAAACACTTAAAATATAAGCATCCACTTACATTAAAGGACCAAAGTAAAATCAAAAATATGCAATGTTCAGGATCAGAATCTTCAGGAGAATTGAGACAAATTAAAATTACTGAGAACTTCGAAAGACAATGGGACATAAACGATTCAAGCGCAAAAAGAATACCCAAGGCTATAGGAGAAAAAATGATCGTTCTTGATAACCAACCTTTTTCTGTTGTGGAGAATAAAGGTAAAATGAAAGTAGCTACATATTGTTATTAATATTATTAATTATTTTTATATGATATTTGCACTTAAATTGTAAGTAACGAAAAAAGGTTTCTCGTTGACAATTTTTTTTATAATATGGTTAGTTTTCCGTGTCATTTTATTTTAAACGTACTTGCTGTAATTTTTAAGTTGCCATATAAAGTTATCGCGAATAAATTTTTAGGATTCAAGAGATTGTTTGCGGTCCTGGAACGAAAGTATAGTATACCCAGTCGGCCATATTTCAGCAAAACTGTCATTCCTGAGATATACGAAAAGTGTCAAAGTAGAGTAGCTGAAATGTTAGCAGACGCAAGATTTATTTCTTTCACAACAGACTTCTGATGTGAACAATAAGAGCTTTATAAGTTTAACTGATCATTGGATTTCCAGAAATGCTGAACAAAAACATTATGTGCTAAGTATTCGTGGTCTGGATGGCAGTCATACTGGTGAAAATATAAAAAATGCTTTACTAGAATTGTTAAGAAATAATAACATAGAAATGGGCAGATTTCACTTGGTTTTTCGAGATAGCGGTGCTAATATTAAGAAGGCTACAAAATATATGGGAGTCAATAATGAATCTTGTTTTATACACACTCAGCAGCTTGTAGTGGTTAACTCTCTTAAAGAGCAAACTTCCCTTATGGAAATTGTATCTATTGCAAGAAAAATAGTGACTCATATAAACCATTCCTCTCCATATCGAACAAACTTAGAAGAAATTCAGATAGACGTCAACCTACCTATCAAAAAAAAATAGTTCAAGATGTTCAAACACGTTGGAATTCCTAGTATTATCTATTAGAAAGATTTATCGAGCAGCGAAGGGCCATTACCTTGCTTGCCACGGAAGTTGATGCGGTTCCCTCTTTGACACAAAGTCAGTGGGATTCGTTGGAAAAGCTTTTACGACTTTTACAACCATTTGAGCAAACTACCAAACATTTTAGCAGATAATTATGTATAATATCAGAAGTGATTCCTACAGTTTTGTCATTAAGAAGGTTTTTAATGGAAATTAAGATTTCTAGACTAGAAAATTTACAGCAAAGTTTGCTAGGAAATTTGACTAAACTTTTTTGTGAAATTGAGAATAACAATAATTTTTTAATAGCTACTTTTTTGGATCCCCGGTTCAAGGATGCATTTTTCACTGATAAACATAAAACAACAGTTGATATTTTAAAATATATTCAGAGTCTAACTGTGGATATGGCACCTTTTGACAACAATAAAGCTTGCGTTACGTCAGTAGATTTAAGTTCTGATGAATCTGACGATGATGTTCCGCTTAGCACTTTATTCGAAAAACGCAAGAAACCTAATGAGTCTGTTTGGGATATATTTTCGAATATTGCACATAGCCGCGACAGTATTGCAGGAACTTCCAAACATTTAGAAACTGTGGAAACTCAATTCAATTCTTATTTGAAATTGCCACTTATTGATCGTACTTCATGCCCTCTTTCATGGTGGCGAATTAATCATAAGAGTTTTCCCAAATTAGCAGATCTCGTTCAGATGTTTCTATCAGCTTCGGCTTCAACAATATTCAGTGAGAGGCTGTTTTCAGAAGCTGGAATGATTTTCGAAGAAAAACAAAGGCTAACCGCAGAAAATGGCGAAATGCTAACCTACCTCCATCATAATATTCCTTTACTTAATTTTAAATATACTAAGTGACGTATAAATCCGAACACTCAGTTTAAATGGTTTTATTTTAATAAAATTTTGTATAAGTACTTAATGAAGCATAATAAGTAAATGATAAAAATTTCAAAATGATTGCACTGCTTTAAAGCCCTTTGACCTTTAATAATGTGTGGATGCACCCTGATGTGCTACGCATTCTCCAACGCGCCTAGGCATGCTTCTGATCAGGTGGTCAATGTCCTCCTGTGGTATCTCATTCCAGGCAACCACCAACTGCTCTCGAAGTGCTTCTAGAGTCTGAGGAGGACGTTGCAAATTGAGCAATCTCCTACCCATCATATCCCACACGTGCTCAATTGGGGATAAGTCGGGAGATCTTGGTGGCCATGGTAACAATGTGACATCATTATGTTGAAAGAAGTCTATTGTGACTCTTGCAACATGTGGTCGGGCATTATCTTGTTGGGAAGTTGGATCTGCCAGGGTGTCAAGATAGGGTAAAAGATGGGGTTCTAGAACTTCGTGGATATAACGCTGCGCGTTCATGTTACCTCTGATGAAGATTAAAGGTGACCTGGAACCATAAGCTATAGCACCCCAAACCATAACTCCAACAGTGTGATGAACATGTCTTTCAACAAAAAACTGTGGATTCCTCCTTTCACCACGTCGCCTTCTAACCCTGGCACGACCATCGTGCATGCCTAAACAAAATCGAGACTCTTCACTAAAGACAATACTGTTCCATTCCTGATCCCAGAGTGACCGTTGTATGCACCACTCAAGGCGATTACGTCGGTGTTCTCGAGTTAAAGGGAGGACCCAGTGTGGCCGGTATGAAAACAAGCCAAAACTTCTCATTCGTCGGTAAACACGTCGCATGCCAATAGGTCTTCCGTATTCTGCAAACCATTCATTTGCAATGGACCTGGTAGTGGAGAAACGGTCCCTTAAGGCTAATAATCTTAGGCGGCGATCTTCACGGTCTGTTGTTCTACGGCGGCGTCCAGTGCCCCTTGCTCTTTGCGTACGGCCTTCTCGAAGCCATGCCTGACAACACCTAACCACAGTGTCTACACTTCTTTGCACTCTAACTGCAATTGCCCGAAAAGAAAGTCCAGCTTCCCGAAGTCCCACTATACGGCCCCTATCAAACTCACTAAGTTGACGAAATCGTACAGGTCTCCGTACTCTAGGCATCGTAACCGATCGTAAAGGATGTCATAACCAAAATCCGCCAACGTTCATTCTTTACTGCGGCTGAAATATTCATTTTTAGAGCGTTAGTGAATTAAAAAAAAGCAGTATAAAAACCGGAATGTCCAACTGATAAGGCCAAAAAGTTTTTCACTTGTTATTTACAGTAAGATAAATACATTCACCAACTTTTATTAAAATAAAATCATTTAAACTGGGTGTTCGGATTTATATGTCACTTAGTATATTAGATTATGTACGTGTAAATTCGTTTTCTGTTTTCTTTTTTGGACAATTTAACTTAAATAATGTAGTTTTTATTTAATACCATTTAATATATTATGTATTAAGTTGGTTTTTACAGGCTCTTTGGCTTCTATTTTTTTCAATATTTTTTTTTTCATTTAATCAGTCTACCCGGCCGGGTAGAATGATTACCGGGCAAAACCGGGTACCTCGTCAAATTAGCCGGGTACCCGTTACATCCCTAGTTATTAGCACTTACCAAACCAAAAAATGCTTTTGGTGTTACGCCACTGGAATGCAACCCTATGTTAAGAGTAGAAACTTGGATTTGTCCATTAAGCTGTTAAATTGTCATAGTAAAATTTATAAATTCGGTTTAAATTACATAATGTCAAAGTAGCAAATTTTAACTTCACGCCACTGGAAGCAATAACGTTCGAGTGCTTCAAGAGAAACCCCAAAAAAACCCTTTTAGGGATTTGAGAAATTGCTCTTTTTAGGATAGTCCAAAGATCAAAAAGATGCATAGAAAAATTCCAAGATCAAAAATTGAGAATCTGGCACCCAAAAACTTCGCTAAAAAACATGACTTCCTTGGCTCATCCTGTATAGGTCGATAAATAAAATAAATATACCGGTCGAACCATGTGCCTCTTCTCAAAGAGTAGGTCAAGAACCTAACGAATATCGAGATTTGAATTTGGGTAAAATCTTCCATGATGCAAAGCAACTGTCCATCAGTTGCACTTAAACTTGAAATTCCTATTCAAATTATAAACTGTATACCTGCAATGCTTTTCTATCGCCGCTGTGCAATCTTCAGTACCCCTGACTACAATAACTCTTCTAGGTCGCAACTGGGACAGTATTTTCATCATTGATTCGCCGTCAGATCTGCCTTCGAAGTCGATATACTGCACCTGAGCATTCACTTGTACAGTTCGTTGCAATATTATGCATTTTGTGGGTAACTCGGGTATTTCAGCTAAAAACGAATATCTAATAAAATATACTCAGTGACAATAAGTGTTACACCCAGAAAAAAATTATTCGTTCGTCTTGTTTTTTGGCAATGAGATAATCTTACATCAGGAATGAAACGATAACATTCTCACGAAATTTTATTAACAAGTACATAATAAGAAAAAAAATTAATAATGTGTTGGGCGACCCCGCAGCTGAATTTACACTCAGACATCGACAAAATGAGATGATCGATGTTTGGTTTTGGCACCTCATTCCAAGCAACTCGAACTTCGTGGATTAGCTGTGTCAGAGTCTGTGGCGGATAGTGTAAACTGGACAGTCTCCTCCACATCATATTCCACACATGTTAGATGAAAAAGGACGTGTGGACGGCACTATAGATACGACAGTCCAGTGGACATCATCAACATAACGCGCGTCATATTGCCTTGAACAAAGAGAAGGGGTGATCGGCTACTATAGGCAATAGCCAGCAAAACCAATACTCCAACAGTCCTGTGTAGATGCCTCTCAACAGCAAATCCAATATCACGCCGTTCTCCTCAGCCGCGTTTTACCCTTCTACGACCATCGTTATGCCATTCTGCCTCTCAATGTTGCCGTTCTCAGCTCCAGTTCAAACGTTGACGACAGTGGTCCGCAGTCAGAGGAAGCACTAACCGTGGACGGTATGAAAAAGTCCTAAGGCTCAACTGCGGCATAGTGAAAGGTCTACCTTCTTCTTCAAACCATTGGTTAACGATCTGACGCGCAGGGCTAGTTGTCTGACGCTTTGTGGACCAGCTGGTCTTCTTCGTGTTCTTGTATCTTCTTCTATTCACACACGACACACACGCATTACCGTCATTGCAGTACAATTAACTCGGTGGTCAATTTCGCGATAGGACCAACCAACATCTCAATAGGCAATAATTCTACCCCTGTCAAAGTCGCTAACATGGTGGTAATTTGGACGTCTTCGAACTCGAGGCATTTTGTTATGCTAACACTAGTAAATAAAAGGGCAATAACTAAAAATGTCTGTACTACTCAGCTCTCAAAAACTACTTTCTTCACAGAAACTAAGAGATAATATTTTAACAAAGGTCAACAAAAACCAAGATAAAACGTTGACATTGTTGCCACAGCATGCTTTAAATATAGTCACAACACAACAAGTTGAAATAATTATTTTTTCTTGGTGTAACACTTCTAATGCCACTGAGTATACTATGCCGTAAGCTCATTAAACATTTGGAGAAGCTGCAAGAAATTATTTCCTTGACCATGGATGATTGTTCAACATTCGCTTTGTTTTGAAAATGAAGTGTTACAATGAAAAATGTTCTAAAAATCAATACACCTTCCTTAATGATATGCGAATATTTAAGGGTGTGAATCTACATGAAAAATTAATGTTAGTTTGCTTTATAAACTATGGTCCAAAAATGTTTCCTTACAAAAACTCGGAGTGTTGAAGTTTTAGGAAAACAACGAAAATTAATTAATATTTTCAGAACCGCTTCAGATATTTCACTGATTTTTAGTACGTAGTGGAAGTTAATAAAGTTGCATATTTTTCGATGCACAAATAATTTTCAGCTTTAACAGTGGCGTGCGTACGGGAATCGACTTCGATATATTTAAAGAAAAAAATCGCACGCCAATGGTTTTTGCCAAATAAAATTATTTTTGAATTCCCCGTTCAATTTAAAACATGATCTATCTCTCTTGAATTGTTTTCCTTCGATGAGCCATTTTTGAGTAAAAAAATATTGTCCGAGAAAATTAATGTAACAATTGAAGAATGCAATTTAGCAATAAATATCTAGTTGCTCTGGAATATGTCACTGGCTTTTGACATCTAACAAGTCTCTGTTATGTTATTCAAATCTGTTCGTTGTGACATCTTCATTTAGTGTTTACAATCTTGTTAATAATGGTGAATTATTCAAATGCAGAAATGGCGGAAATGCATTACGTACAGTGATGGATAAAAGTATATAGACAAATTAATATTGTGCTGTATTCCTTTTTTAAATTGTTTTATTAATACACCAACCTGAATACATAATTCGTTATAGCATAATACTCACTTATACATAAATAAATTCATTAGACTCCCTTCAATAAAAAATTAATTGAAAAAACTGGAACTATGAAGGACAAAAATATATAGACAAAGCAAAACAATTATAGAAAGAAGAAGTAAAGTTCATTGAATTATAAAAAACCAACCATGTTTGTATTAATATTTTGTAGCATAACCATTATTACCAATCACCGCCTGGCATCGCCTCGGCATAGACTATAGAAGTTTCTTGATATAAGATTCATCAATATGTCTCTACTTGTGCTCTAAAGCGGCAAAAAGTTCATCCTTGTTTGAATAATTTTTATCTCGTATTTGCTTATCTAAGTATTCCCATAGATTTTCAATGGGGTTTATATCGGGAGACTGTGAAAGCCATTTGAGAACTGGTATTTTTTCATCCAGAAAGAATTTCTTTGCGAGATTTTAAGTGTGCTTCGGGTCATTATCTTGCTGGTAGATTGATATTAAGGGCATATTGTCTGCCATATAGGGTAACATGACATGACTTAGTATGTCTGTGTATACAAACGTATCCATAATGCCATCTATTCTATGTAAAAGCCCCAACCCAAACCCCGAAAAGCACCCCCAAACCATAACAGACCCGCCTCCATGGTTGACAGTGGGCAAAGTGTACTTCGGGTTCAATCTTCGTACACTAGGACGTCTAACGTAATGAACACCATCTGAACCAATCGAGTTGCAACCGTGCAAATTGTAATCGGTCCTTACGGTTTTTCCTCGATATTAGCGGCTTCTTACTTGAGCGACGTGCAAATAACTTCAAATCATTTAATCTTCTACTTATAGTTTTCGTAGAAACACTGACCATTCCTTTTGTCTCGATTTCACCTTTTATTTGTATTGGGGTTTTAAACGGATCTTTGGACGAAATTACTTTTATTAATCTAACTGATCTAGCATTTAGTTTTCTAGGCCGGCCACTTCTCTTAGAGGCTTCCAAGATACCTTTTTGTTTATATTTGTTCAATATTGCCCAACATGCTTTACGCTTCAGCTTCAAATTTTTGGCAATGTCGACTTGACGTTGACCATCTTTGTATAACTCAATGATCGAAATAAATTTTTGGACCACGCGGCATGGACTTAAAATCACTTAACTTATTCCACAATACTTGATGAACACAAACTAATCCTCTTCTGACACGAAACTGTACTAAACTAATGTTGAAAAGGATCTGCCTACATATTTTTGTCCCTCATAAAAAAGTGCTTACAGATATATTCAGACTTGTAGTATGTTCATTGCAGATAATGTAAAAACAAGGAATTTAGTTTTTCTACTAGTGTTCGAATTTGTTCATGGAGCAATGAGTATGAATTCGTTTTTTTTTTAAGGTATTTAGGTAAATATTCATATTTGTCTATATACTTTTGTCCATTACTGTATATGGCCTTGCCGACGTGCTTTGCCAGATAGTCGAACCTTTTCTAATATTCATCGTCGTCTTGTTGAAACTGGTTCTGTCCGAAAAGGAACCTCTGAAGGTAGACCTCTAAGTGTGAGAACACCTGAAATTGAGGAAGCAGTACTGCACGAAGTCGAAGAACATCCTGAAACGAGTACGAGGAAGATCGCTAGACACTTAAATATTTGCCATCAAATTGTTTGGAGAATTTTAGTGGATTTTTTGTTATATCCTTACCATATTTTAAGAGCACAGGCATTACTTCCAATTGATTTTCCAAGGCGTGTGATCTTTTGTCAGTGTATCTTCAAAAAATTACACAAAATCCGCAATTTGAATCAATGATTCTGTTCACGGACGAAGCTAATTTTTCTGGAAATGCCATTCAGAATTTCCACAATAATCATTTGTGGGCAGAAGAAAATCCCTATGTCGTAACCGAAACTCATTTCCAACACCAATTTTCGGTTAACATATGGGCAGAAATTATTGGCAACCACTTTATTGGCCCATTCTTCTTGCCGGACGACTTGATGGACAGACTTACCTCAATTTTCTTCAAACAACAGTTGCCTTTGCTGCTTGATGATGTTCCGTTAGTAATAAGAAACAATATGTGGTACATGCATGATGGTGCACCAGCGCATTTCAGTGTAGCGGTTCGTAACTATTTACAAACTGTTTATCCAAATTGTTGGATTGGCCGTGGTGGGCCCCAAGAATGGCCACCAAGGTCCCCAGACCTCAACAGTTTAGATTTCTTTTTGTGGGGCTATCTTAAGACGCTAGTGTATACAAGTCCCATTAACACTGTACAGGAATTAAGAGAAAGGATAGTTGCAGCTTGTGAGAATAAAAAACACTCCAGGGATATTTCAACGAGTGCGCAATTCCATGAGAAGGACGGCGGAAACATGCATACTAAGTGAAGGGGGGCATTTTCAACAATTTTTGTAATAATTTTGTTGGTTTTAATGTTATGTTTATGTTGTCAGTTGTTGTTGTTCATTACCCCGAATGTGTTTAATTTTACCAATTAAATTGATAATTTTGCAAGTTAGACAATAGAACGGTTTTTATGTTTTTACTGAAAAATGGCGCATCGAAGGAAAACAATTCAAGACAGATCCTTTGCTTTAAATTGAACGGGGAATTAAAAAATAATTTTTATTTGGCAAATAACCATTGGCGTACCATTTTTTCTTAAGAAATATCGAATTCAATACCCGTACGCACGCCACTGTTGAAGCTAAAAATTATTTTTGCATTGAATTGATCTGGAGCGGTTCTGAAAATATTAATTAATTTCCATTTTTTCGTAAAACTTCAACATCCCGAGTTTTTGTAAGGAAACATTTTTGGACCATATTTTATAAAGCAAACTAACATTAATTTTTCACGTAGATTCACACCCTTAAATATTCGCATATCATTAAGGAACACCCTGTATGTATATGAATAATTGAGCACTCTTACTATTTATACTTACTAATTTCTTCTTCTTCATGTTTTATTACAATATTTTCTTTGTTATCTTCTCCTTCGACGGGTACTTCTGCTAACTTATAGTCTTCTGGTTTTATAACTTCACCATATTCATCGCACTATAAGTAAAATTTGATGAAAATATAAAATAATGTCGGAATAAATGCTCCCAGATAAGTCTTTCAATGAGTTGTAAAAATATGATTTTGGAGTATCCAAGAAAATATGAGATTTGATTTTTGTTGTCATTCACTATAAGATATAATTATACCTTGATTTTTTCTTCATGGAAAGGATACATAGGGTGCATCTTTTTAGTGACCTTAAAAAATCCTCCCGATATTTTACCTTCCTGTTTGATAACTATATCATGACGACCTTTTGATATCACAGACATTTCTATGTCTTCGTCCGAGTCAGAGTCATCATCCCTAAAAACACATACGATAGGATGATTTGCTTAAACTCACTTCACTTTTTTCATTACTGATGTTACCCACCACGGATTTATCAAAAACCACTGGTTGAATGAGAAAACGTCACAAAAGATTTGTCAAGGGGGACAAATTTTCAACGAAAAACTACCTCACCCCCTTTCACCCTCTGCCTCGGTCGATTCCTTTTCAAGAAAATTAGAAAAATCTTTATCTTAATTTGTTCAGATTGAAAACAAAACCCACGAAAATATCACGTTTTATTTCAATAAGTGTTCAAAATACTACTATTCGTCATTTGTTTGTCTGGGCGGTCCGTAGGACGTTTGCCCATTAGTCACTGTCTAATGTACGTTAGTCGAATCTGTCAGTGCTGGTTGCCCAGAAACCAGACAATGTCAACGAAAAAGAGAAAGGAAAGAGAAGAAAAATGGAGAAAGAAAAACAGAATTGTTTAGTTTAAGAGGAGATACCTAGGCTTTTTGACTTGGTACACGGATTAATTTTGATTCGGTTTTGTAAGAGTATAACTTTAAGTTTACTAAAAGTTCGCGCTAATTTTTGATTACAGTACGAGCCGTGACCTTGAATATTTACGAACTTGCTCCACTGTGTAGTCCACTGAGTCGTGCAACAGAGGGTTGCTGTGCGATTCCGCTTGACTATAACGTCGCTGCGCCTGAGGTTTGATATAATCCCTCAAGTAAGGAATGTCAAGGTCTCTGTGTAGTGTCTCGTTTGAGACATACCATGCGTTGCAAATTGTTCGCACAGTTCTACTTTGCAGTACTTGAAGACTTTGCATATGTGTCGTGGCAAGAAAACATCAAGCCGCACATGCATAAGTAATGACTGGTCTAATAATCATTTTACATAGGCGAACTTTATTTACCAAACTCAATTTGGAGGATCTACATAACAAAGGATATAGTTGCCGGAACGCAATTTGGAATTTTGTTTTCAAAGCTACTGTATGTTTCTGCCAGGTCATGCCGTTATCAAGGGTGACACCGAGGAACTTGGCAGAATTTGTCCATGGACACGGCTGCCGTCTACAGAGACCTCTGCTGGGGGGCCGCGACGTCTTTTGGTACAATAAATTGCCTGCGTTTTCGAATGATTAATTTCAATCAGCCACCGTTCCGCCCACTCTAGTACTTCTTCCACCGCACTCTGCAACCTATCGTGAACCAGATCACCAGTACACGACAAGTGCAGTGTCGTCAGCATAGAGGTAGACTTCACAGTTCCTGGGGCAAGGGACATCATGGATAAAAAGCGAATAAAGGATTGGTCCTAGGACCGAACCTTGAGGAACACCGGCCGTGTTGTTGACAGAACATTGTTAACTTCCTTCCTTCAAGAAAGGATTTCAGTAATTTTAAAAGCCAAAAAGGACAACCCTTTTGGATTAGTTTATAAAGGAGGCCCGCGTGTCACACCTTGTCAAAGGCTTTTGGGACATCCAAAAGCAAGATGCCAGTACTCAGGCTGAGGGTGAACCCTCTGGTTACATGTTCCACCAGCCTGACTGCCTGTAGCTCGGTGCTATGCTCGGACCGAAAACCGAATTGAACGTCAGAAATCACATGGTGATTTGAAGAAAAATTATCAAGGTGACGATAAATCACCTTTTCGGTGAGCTTAGAAGTAGCTGACAGCAGACTTATGGGACGGTAATCCTGAGGAAATATCGAATCCACCTTCTTTGGAATCATAATGACCTCAGCCGTCTTCCGCCCAGCAGGGAAGTATTGGGTTCTGAGCGTCGCATTGATTATTGTCACCAAATCGGCGAGAGCAGCTTCAACGCCTTGTTGGTGATTTGATCCTCCCCAGGTGCTTTACGCACCTTGAGGTCTTTAATATGACTTAGGATCTCCGCTGGTGTGCAAAGTGGAAACTCGGAGGGTTCCGCTAATGTGAAAAGTGGAGCCTCAGACGAATCTTCTGAAGAAGAGTCATCTTAAGAGGATTCAGTGCTTCCGCTAACGCCGTTGGCCCTAAAATATCTCCTGACGGATCGTACGATGTGCTGTTCCTCGTCGAGGTCATTATCAAGATCATAGTTGGGAGAGAACTGTTTTTCCACGGCATGTGTTCAAAATGTCACAAAGGTAACTGGCAGCAAATTAAATTCTTTCTTTCCCTTAGCAACAAATAACGAAACAGGTATAACAATAAATACAGTTCACCCACGATATCTGTGTTGATGAAAATTTGCTGGAAAAAATTCGGGTTGTTATTTGTTTGTTGCCACGTGTAATCTTCCGAATTGCTGTTTATGTTGGTAGTTTCCATGGTAAATTATAAACGAATTGAAGATTTGGCAAACCCTAACAGGCAACATTTTTAACACTTATTTAAATAAAAAGTGATATTTTCGTGTGTTTTTGTTTTCTATCTGAACAAATCAAGATAAATAAAGATTTTTTAATTTTCTCGAAAGCAAATCGACTGATTTTAAAAAATCAAACGTCAAAAAATACGTTCAAAATACCTTTCAAACAAGCTATCACTCGATACCCCTTCTCATTTAAAATTTTAAAGGAAATGACCTCCGAGGGGGGCGAGGGTGGAAGGGAGTGAAGTAATTTCTTGGTAAAAAGGTGTCCCCTTGACAATTTTTTTGATGTGTCTCGGCGTTTTTTCTTTTAAGTTTTTAAATGAACGCCCTGTATAACAAGAAACGGACTTGACTTATTTGTACATTATCTCAAGGACGCAATGAAATCATAGCAACGCCGAAAACTTACTCCTTGACTCCATTAACATCACTCCTGTCTCGCTGCCTTCTTTCATAATCCGCAAGTTCAGCTCCTTCTAATTTAACTCTTCTTTCTATTGTTAAATCGATCGTTCGGCCTCCACCGTTGTCTATCAAATCCCTTGTCAATGTTCCAGGTGAGGTCCTGTAACATATTTAAAATATAAACATCTGGATTCCAAGTTATTAAAAACTTAGGACATGATTTGCAACCAAATATGCCTCTTTGTTTCGAATTCGACCCTCACCATTCGGATCTCGGAAATAGTAAGAGATACGAGATGGCTTAAATGGGGACCAATTTGCGTATTTAGGTAACTAAAATAATGCCGCTTAGAAAGTTTCGCAATTCAAAGTACTTGCGAAGAGAGACGGAAAAACCGAATTTTCCTAAAATCCTCTCAATTATCTCCTGACTTTATTTGTGGTGGAATTTCAAAATAAATTGCACATTAACATTGCCACTTTTTCTCATATACAAGAGAGCCCGTTTAGATTTTCAATATGACGTTCGGTCTCTTGTCCACCAGCTAAATCTTTATTATTTTTTTTCACCATATTGCATTTTTGCACGGGTGAGGTGGGTATTTAACTCGGATTCCAAAAATGTATAATATGTCATTGATATTGCGAAACCTTAATCATTTCAAAAAATAAAAAAATCCTAGGTATTCCATGAAATTATCAGATATACTACAACTATTTAAAACTGTAATGACTCATACGCGTGATCAACACGTGATCAGAGCTCGATCCCGGCTTCCTTCCAGTACAGCCATATAGCGTACGACATAATGTCGTTTCTGTGGCTTTGCGGTGGTCAACAGCACAGACAGAGATGGAAATAATGGCTGATTGTTCTCCGCCGGTAGAACCAATGAAATCAAAGACGCGCCTCGACCGGCAGACTCATAGGCGTCGGCAACGCATTGGAACGTGTTTCGTTGAGCGATCGCATATTGTGTGTTTTTATAAGAATTGTTATTGTTATTTTTGTGGTTTCTGTGGTTACTGTTTTGGTTATACTTAACCATGGAGAGTACAAATGGCACGAGTGGAAGTACTGAAAGCCAGGGAACAAGTAGACGGCTTCGTAAAGCACTGAAGAGGGACGCGAAAGAAATCGTGCTCAACGTGTTCAATTATCTGAACAGAACTATGTCGCAGGGAGATGCACTCGCGCATTGTGAAAGTATGACAGGCGTTCCAGGGTGGACCATTCGCAGGGTGGTGCATGAAAAGAAGAAAACTGGAGCTACTACTGATCCAAAGTTTAATTTGAAGGGACGAAAGGCCGTTAAATTGGATGACGATAGCAAAATGGCGTTAAGGCGAACCGTACATTCATTCTTCTTTAGGAATGAGATACCAACCCTCAAGGCTGTACATGCAGCGATCAAAGAAAATGAAATTATACCCCAAATGAGCGTCGAGGTAATGAGGAAATCCCTGCACGAAATTAATTTTCGTTACGAAACGCGTAATCGGAAGTCAGTATTGATAGAGAGACCTGAAATAGTCGCCTGGCGTCGAAAATACCTACGCGAAATGATTGAATATAGGCGACAAAGCAGAAAAATCTATTATTTGTACGAGACATGGGTAAATACAGGTCACACAGTTAAAAAAACCTGGATAGACAAAAACGTAGTGAGTAACCGACAAGCAAGCATTGAAGGTTTGTCAACAGGTCTTCGTGGACCGTCAGGGAAAGGTCAAAGATTGATCGTAACTCATATTGGTAGCGATAGTGGCTTTTTAGAAGAGTTTGACTTGATTTTCGTCTCTAAGAAAGGAGGTGATTACCATGACGAAATGAATGCCAGCCGCTTCGAGAGCTGGTTTCAAGGGGTGCTTCAGCGAGTTGAGCCCAACTCTGTGATCGTCATGGATAATGCTTCCTACCATAGTCGTCGAGCCGAACGTGTACCCACTATTGGATCTCGAAAAAGTGACATGCAGCAATGGTTGCGCGAAAAAGGAATCCCGTTTGACGATTCATGTGTGAAAGCGGAATTGTATGAAAAAATTAAACAGCACAAACCTGCGAACATTAGTTACGTGACTGATGAGATGGCCCGTCAATGTGGTATCACTGTGCTGCGGTTACCGCCCTATCACTGTGAACTGAACCCAATAGAGCTCATCTGGGCTCAAGTGAAGGGTTATATTGCGCGCCATAACACAACCTTCAAATTACCAGACGTTAAGGTTTTACTTGAGACTTCCATACAGCTAGTAACGCCCGAAGCTTGGCAGAATGCTATCCGTCATGTTGTGAAGGAAGAAACAAAAATGTGGCAGCTTGACCACCACATCGACACCATCATAGAGCCAGTTATAGTTAATTTCAACGAGGAAAGCGATAGCGACAGTTTATTACTGTCAGATGTAAGTGGAAGCGACGATGAATAAAGGTAATTCCCAAATTTTTGACTTACAATATGTTTCAAACCACTCTTTAATAAGCATGTGACAAATCTAGTTCACCCATGTTAAACATTCATACCCCGCCTATGACCAGCCGACTACTGGTAGTTAAGTGATGTTCACGTGAACATCGATGAGTCATTACAGTTTTAGATAGTTATAGTATAGTCATTTGTTTCATATACCAGATTTATCGTAAAATCATTTTTATTATCTCCTGATTTTATTTTATATGGAATATCAAAATAAATTGCGTGTTGTTATTGCCATTCTTTCTCCTCTACAAGTTGGCGTAGTCAAATTTTCAATTCTAGGTAGCTTCTTTCGACTTCACGTTGCTTTTTTATATGGTTCCTACATTGAAATTTTGTACATTTAAATGCAGTTTTCAGCTCTAAATTCAGCGATTTATTTCCTTAGTTGACCATGAATTGGTTGTTGAAACGAAAATTATAAGAAAATAAAGAGGTATGGTGAAACAAGAACACAAAATGAAAATTTTGTTTGTAGTAACGATAATTGAAGACCTCGGTGCAAAAACCAGGTAAGTCACATTATAGAAAATATTGGGAAATTAAAAAAACTGAACATTTGTTTTAAAAATATGAAAAAGAAAACCATTTTATTTTAGTGTATAGAGAAGGTAATGAAAAACCTGCTCAATATGGAATAACATAAAAACATGAATCCAAGCTTAAACATTCGGACTTACCTGGTTTTTGTCCCCAACATTATATTGAAATAATGGAAAAATTAGTTCAAACAGTTTTAATAGTCAAAGAGAACAAAACTTAAAAAGGGGTAACAAAAATAAATCTTCGAATAGATAAATGACAAGTCGGAGTCATAAGCGTCAAATTTTTAATCCGAGATTTCTATTTTCAACTTCCATCAAAAGCTTTTTTATATGGACACTAAGAAATTTTGTAAATTTGAATGGATTTTTCAGTCATAGATTCAGCGATGTAATTCCTTAACTGGTCACGAATTTGTTGTTGGAACGAAAATTATAAGGAAACAAAAAGGTACGGAGAAACATGAACACCAAATGACAATTTTATTGTTGATAATAACAATAATCATAGAGAAGCAGAGGTAAATCATAACAGCTTTTCAAAACGTGGTCTGTCACTTTGTAGGCAAAGCCTGACTCTTCTGTATACATTTTTCACTGCTCGGTTTATTTCCTTTCGTCTCAGTCTTCCAAACTCTGTTACTACGTTCAATTTGAAATTATTTTGAAATTCAATGTCAAATAAAGTCGGATAAAAAGAATGATTTGTCGATACATCCGGTATATGAAACAAATGACTATCTGATAATTTGATGGCCTACCTAGGAAATCCTGTTCTTTTGTTTGAAATAATTAAGGTTTGTCAATGTCAATGTATGACATATTATACAAGGTCCGGCACAAAGGTCGGATGGTTTTTGAAAAATCACAAAATCGGTAATTTACATTCAAAACAAATTTATTGGCGGATTCGGGTTCACAATGTAATAGCGTTTGTCACAATTAAGTGTTGAAAATCACGTCAGACACGTCGTGATTGTTCTTGACGATGCATTACTAGAGGTGTTCTTGAAATTTCGCGTAGACTGTCTCCAGCATCTTTCTCTCAACTTGGGGGGCTTCTACGCGAATAGCCTTCTTCAACTCGTCCAGAGTTCGGGGCTTGTGATGGTATACACGAGCCTTGAGGTGACCCCATAGGAAAAAATCGGAGATAGATAAATCTGGGGACCGAGGAGGCCATTGAACATCACAAAACCTGGGGTGAGCAGCGGTCTTTCATGTAGCTGTCCCGGATTTTCGTTAACCCAATGACGGCTATTCTGCTGGTTAATAATAAGTGCTTTCATCCCACGTACGAAGTTCATTCGTTGTTCGTAATATCCAGGTTGCATAATGGCCAACTTGCAGGGGTGAAAGTGGAGTTCCACATGTAAAATACGCCTTAAGGTCTATTCACACTCAGCCGTGACGTGACAATGCCGTGACGTGCCAGTGATTCTCGCTGACGTGAGCTCACAGTGTTTTCAATTCACACCGGTCAGTATTTATCTCCGTGCTCTGACAGTGCAATTGGGTTCACGTGAGGTCGAAATGGCAAAATTTTCAGAGGATGAACTTGCAATTATTGCATGAATTCTGGATTTTTTTCATACTCCAACTACCACGAAGGCCCAAGGCCTAAACACCCATGGGGTACCGTGGTGCTATAGGGGGAAACACAGGGGAAAGGGGAGACGGCACAGAGACTCTGGCGAGGGAACACGTGTGCATGCAACATGCACACATTCTGGCCTAAGAGATCCGCCGGTTGGTACCTTCGCGTTCGACAGTCAGAGACCGTCTACCACCTACGAAAGATGAAGAAGAAGCAACGTGAAGAAAACGGAAGTCCCATGTATTTTCAATTTGACTGGTTCTACAACACGAGATGTACGCGTACAAATTCAATTAGTTTTTCATCATTCATGTTTTTGACCAATTATATCAAAATATTCACGAAATTACATAAAAACACGGCCGTGAAAATCGAAAAATATCGTTCCAAAACAATGCGATGATCACGGTACGGCGTCGTCGAGGGCACTGAGAACACGGCCACTTCCACATGCCGGTCTAGTGTGAATCAGTTCATCCAAATTCAAGGAAGAATGTTTTCAGTTTCGCCGGGCGGATCACGTGCCTACCACGGCACTGTCACGTCAGAGTATGAATAGGCCTTTACCGAACGATCACTCAGGCGAATTTCAGCTGCTTGTTGCCTAGTAGATCGAGCCGGACTGCGAAGGAGGGCTTCTCGAACGCGTTCCTCATTTTCAGGGGTTCGAACCGTTCGTGGAGCTCCTGGTGGTCTTTTGTTGGTCAGTAAACCACGTGAGCGAAGTGTCTGAACCCAACGAAGGATGGTATTTCGAGAAGGAACAGCTCGATTCCGATGAATATTGAAGTGGCGACGAAGCTCTGTACGGCTGTACAGCCGTGATTTAGTCATATCGGACAAAACTGTCGTACGCGAAAATGCGGTGTTCAACCGTCCACTGTTGTATAATGTCTACTGGTAACGCCCGAGTCGAACGGCACTCTCCTTACCACTCTCGCCCGAATCGGCAGAAATATCCGTCCTTTGTGCCTGCACATTTTTGGAATCAGAATTAAAAACACTATTCACCTGTGCTAAAATCCAATATGTCGTCACTGAAGAAAAAAAATGTTGATACTGGAGATAACAAACGAAACGTCATATTGAATTTCTAAATATGCCATCTTGTAGAGGAGAAATAGTGGCAATGTGAATGTGCAATTTACTTTGAAACCCCACTACAAATAAAGCCGAGAAAAAATAAAAACGATTTTGGGAGAATTCTTTTTTTTCCGTCTCTCTTCGGAAGTACTTTGGATTTCGAAACTTGCTAAGCGACATTTTGTTAGTTACCTAAATACGCAACTTAATAAATGTAGCATCTGTATAAAAAGTAATGTTTCTATTAAAAGGGCAGTTAAGCTAGGGCACAAGCCCACTCACAGTTGATATGCATGAAATTTTAATAAGTAACCAATAACGAACACCAAGTACAAAAAGATATTTGACGTATCTTAACCTACTCCAGAACTGTTTCATAATTGAAACTACCAAGCAGCTCCTTAGATTTTTCAAACAGATAGAGTACTACCAATTTATTCTCACCTGGACGTCAAAATAATACTGTTCGCAGAATTTGAACACCACTGTAGGAACAGCTCTCGCGAAAATCCGCATTCCATATCTGGGGAACTAGCCAATACAACCTTAGGACTGGGTACTTTGTTCAATTCTGATAAGCTATGGCACAGCTGCAGATGTTTGAACTGAAAAAAATTGCTAATTTTACAATCATCGAATTCATCGAGGGAAATAGAATCTTGACCAACTTTCAAGCTGAATTTACGAAGAAGAAACACTCAAATAAAACAAATGGTTTTTGAGGACTGAAGGAGATGAATGGACAATAGGAAACATACAGTAACAGTGTTTTTGGATTTCAAAAGGGCGTTTGAAACAATTGACGGATAAATTACTTACAAAATTTAATTGAAAGAATCTGTATTCAAAATTCTAGAAAACTACTCAATTGACAAGTTTAAAAAAAATGAGATCTACATTATCCAGCTCAAAATTATTTCTGTTGGAGTACCACAAGGTAGTAAACTGGGTCCAGTAATATGCATTTTATACATTAATGACATTTGTGATATTTAAGATTATTATAAAATTCAGATATTTGCAAATGTTACATTAATATACATACACATCAGATGACAACATAGACACTGCTTCAAAGACGCTAAATTTTGACTTGACAAAAATCATAAATTGGTAAAATGTAAATGAGCTAAAATTGAATGCTTTTAAAGCAATGTATGCTAATTGGTAAATGCCTAAACGAAAATCATAGGATAAATGGTGAAATAACTGAAAAAGTTGATTCAATTAATTATTTGGGTGGATAGTAAAAAACAAATTACTTCTATATGGCTTCTCATAGTCTTAGTACATATTCAAAAAAATAGTATATAATACAATTATTCTACCGCATTTACTATGTTGTTCAACTATCTTGTTAACTGATAATAAAGCTGTATTCTCAAAATTACAAGTTCTACAAAAGAAAGCTATGAGAGAATAAAAATAAGTACACCAGATTAAAATCTATATTACAAAAGTTGCAGTAAAAATTTCATATCATATTCGGCTATTTTCATATTTAAAATAAAAAACATCTTTTGCCACAATATTTAGAAAATTACATACAATTGAATAATCATTACCATAAATAGGTACTGTCCAAGAAGAAATATAGATTTCCATTTACAAAATTTCACTAGTAACATAACTATCAACTCAATCTTTCAGTAAGGATTACTCGAAATTAATAAACGAAATATGTAATGATATAAAGCAGGGTTGTCCAACTTAATGTGGCCCAAGGGCCACTTAAAAAAAAAATGCAGTTTGGAGGGCCGCATTATAAAATCTTTCTATACAACATTATTGCTGAGTTTTAATAGGTATATACTATACTATATGGTATACAAAAATAGTTTTTCTATTATTTTTATTTATTCAAAAAATATGAAATTACAAAAAAATCAGTGGGACATTTGAGGATGTTGGTTTTCTAATACTAATGCATCAATATTAACATTAATATTTGTTTGTTCATAAACGAAGTAACTGAGTAAGTGACTTATCAGAGAGGGAAATCTATACTTTGACTTGATAAATTTCATGTTGTAAAAGCTGCTTTTGCAAAGATACGTGCTTTCCATCATTGATCCCATTGTAAGTCCTAAGTTTCGCAAGTTGGGGTATCGTTCTCCTGGCAGTAACTTAAAAAAGTCCAAGCCAGTTTCAGTTCTTCCTTGGTAAAAAGAATCTGATTGCAAATCACACAATTCCAATTGAAGGTATGCTCTGCTTACGTTCTCAATAGAAATTGTTAGTGGCTGAATAAACAGTGAAATGTCGTTTTCGATTTTTTTAAAGTCACTAAATCGATATTTGAATTCTTCTGCAATTGTGTCAATGCATTTTATACGAGGTAAATATGAAACTTCCTCAAAAACATCCATTTCTTCGAAATGTTCTTTACAACTTGGAAAAAATGAAAAATCATTTTTTTGTAATGAAGACTTGAAAAGCTTAATTTTATTCTTAAACCCATTTATGTGTCCAAATGAGTTGGCAATATTCTGCTGTTTTTCTTGTAGCTTCAAATTCAATTCGTTAAGGTCAGATGTCATGTCTGTTAAAAATGCAAGATCTGCTAAAAATTGTGCATCATTCCAGTTCCGTAGTGTCGGACTTCACTTCATTTTTAAGGAAAATAGGAATTTCCTTGCGTAGAGCGAAAAATCGTTGCAAACACTTTCCGGCGCTTAACCTACGAACATCGGTGTGAAGTAACAAGTCCCCATAATGTAGCATCCACTTCGGCCAAAAAATCACGAAACTTTCTGTGAGTCAAAGCAACAATATTAGTTATTTTAACAGCAACTTTCATGACATTTATTTGACGTAAAGATTTTCCACATAAGCTCTCTTGGTGAACAATACAATGTATCATAGGACAGTTGATGCTGTTTTGTTTCAATAGTCCTGCAAATCCAATTTCAGTCCCTGTCATAGCTCTGGCGCCATCAGTGACAATACAGGAACATTTATCAAATCCCCCGTAGTCCGACACCAACTTATTCACAGCTTCAAAAATATCTGTACCTTTGGTTGTGTCATGGAGAGGAATAAGGTCAAGCATCTCCACTGCTACACTGAAGTCGTCTTGAATAGTTCGGATAAAAATTACACGCTGGCTAATTTCAGACAGATCAGTGCTTTCATCCAGGCATAGCGAAAAATATTTACATTTTTCAACCACGTCATGCAATTTTTTGAATACATGTTCATTGACTTTAAAGTTGCTGTATACTGAAACGCACTAGCACTAGAACAAAACTGCCTGTCCCGCTTGATTCAACCTTCTTATATACGCGCCCGTGGCTTCTCGAATATTCGGGGATGATCGAGAGATTGGTCCAATTTCCAGTAAATTCGCTGCGGCCTGGTATCGGTCGCCAGTGGCGTCACATGTTATTGTATTTTATTGTTAATGTAAGAATTGTGTATATTCGGTATTTGAGAGTAATTTATACATGTGATGTATACATGACCCGTGAAGCAGGCCGCAAGAAATGAGTTCGCGGGCCGTATGTTGGACAGCCCTGATATAAAGTATACTTGTAATTTGAAGATGTTTAAAAGAAAATTAAAGGAACTTTTCATAGACAGTGAAAATTCTTAGACATGCAAGTTTTGTTTTTCAGAATATTTCTATGTTACGTAATTGTTGTGGTTTTTTAAAAGAATGTAATTTTAGCAATCATATCAAACAAATATGTTCCCAAATATTTAGTCATGGTTAAAAAAATATACAGACCTGGAACGGATTATTTCTGGCCCCTTCAAAGCTTCTCATCAATTTATCACTCATCCATTCTATCTGAGACTTAGCAAATTCTACGACATTGTAGCTGACATTGTTCAGTAAAGCCAGAGAGTATGCCAGTAACCCCGATTCCTTATTCCTCCATAATTGATCCAACATGTGAGCAAGTTCCAATACCCTTCCTGCAGTATCTACAGCTATAAGTACGTTTCCATTGTTGCGCAAAGTTTGCAGAATATTTGCTGAAAACAAAGCAAGGATTAGCGAAAAGTTCTTTGAAGATGTTTATGCTGGATGCTAAAATTAGCGCCATACGAGGGTGGTCTGAAAAGTTTCCGACCTAACAAAGATTCAAGACATTTTTTCTGATTTTTTTTTTCAATAGTACTCGGCGTTTTTCTCTGCAAAATAATTGTTCACGAAGGTGAATGCCTCCTCATTTGACGAAAATATCTGTCCTCCGAGCGCAATTTTTAGATGAGGGAACAAAAAGAAGTCAATTGGGGCTAGATCTGGTGAGTACTGCGAAAGCAGTTCAAACCGTAATTCGTGGATGTTCGCCAAGGCAACTGCTGAGGTGTGAGACGGTGCCTTGGTGAAACAGAATTTTCTTTTTCTGCAAATGTGGAGGTTTTTCCGCGAGCTCTGGCTTCAGCTTGTCAAGTAATGATACGTAATATGCTCCTGCAATTGTTTTCCTTTTTGAATATAATCCATTAAAATAACTCCATGACTATCCCAAAAAACGGTCGCCATCACTTTCGCAGCCGAAAAAACAGTTTTGCTTTTTTTGGAGCCGGTTCCCCCTTTGGAGTCGACTGTTTGGACTGTTTTTTGTTCCGGGCGTATAATATTGTATCCAAGTTCATCTACAGTAATTAATCGGTGCCAAAACTCGGATTTATTGCGCCTACACTGCGCCAACAAAGCGTTTGGAATATTCTTTAGAACACGTTTTTGGTCTAACTTGAGCAAACGCAGCACCCAACGCGCGGACATATTTCTCATGTCTAAATGTTGATTTCAATATGTGACAAACACGTTCTTTTGACGTTCATAACCTCTGCTAAATATCTCACTTTAATTCGGTGGTCGTCTAGCACCAGCTCGATACTGGATTTTGTTCATTTTCACAAAAATACACACATTAACTCACTCAAACGACTGTTACATAATAGCTGCGCGTCCAAAATGGCTGAAGCTTTGGTGAGTAACTATCAGATGAACAACGAAATTTACTAGCTTTTATTTACGAGGTCCGGTTGAGGTCGTAAACTATTCAGACCACCCTCGTATATTCTGAAAGTTCCTCCTAACTTTGCTTTTTGAGCTATGAATATGCCATATTACTGAGAGGGTTAAGTTGTTCGCAAGATCTCAAGACGATTCATTAACAAGTCTCTCTTAAGGGGCCCACATCAATTACAGCAAAATATTTTTCTGTGGAAAAATAATCCACCAGATGCCAAAAAGTGTTTAGGCCTATTACATGCTTATATTAGGTATAATTTTGACCCCTCAGGAAACCCGCCCTCGACACCAGCCATCATCCCCTTGCAGATAGTATATTCACAAGATTTGTCGGAGTTGGAACGAAATCTTTGTTTGTTTGTTTGAGATTTATTTAGCATGATTGCTACAATTACATTCTTCAAAAAACTAAACAATTACATAACATATAGATGTTTAGAAAAAACAAAAATTGCATCTCTAACAATTTTCGCTGTCTATGAAATATTCCTTTAATCTTCTTTTAAACATCTTTAAATTACAAGTAGACTTTATATCATTATTCAATTTATTAAATTCAAGTAATCCTTTCTGAAATATTGATTTGCTAGTTATATTACTAATGCAATTTTTTAAATGAAAATCTATATTACCTCTTGTATAATAATTGTGGTAATGATTATTCAATTCTACGTAGTGTGCTAAATGTTGTGGCAAAAGATAATTTTTTATTTTAAATATAAAAATAAGAACCAAATATATGACATTTTTTATATTCAACCACTGAAATTATGGAAACATAGATTATATTCTGGTGTACTTATTTTTATTCAATATCATTCTCATAGCTTTATTTTGCAGGACTTGTAATTTTGAGAATACAGCATCATTGACAATAGTATAGTAAATGCGGTAGAATAATTGTATTATAAACTATTTTTTTTAATATGTACTATGAGAAGGCCTATAAAAGTAATTTGTTTTTTTGCAATTTTGAAATAATGTATTCATAGTGATCCTCAATCTTTAGTTTACTATCAATATATATACCTAAATATTTAATTGATTCAACATTTTCAATTATTTTTCCATTTATCCTGTGATAGTATTTTCATTTCGGTATTTCCCTATTAGCATACATTTTGTTTTAGAAGTATTCAATTTTATTTACATTTAACCAATTTACGATTTTTGACAAGTCAGAATTTAGCATTTTTAAAGCAGTGTCTATATTTTCAACTGATATGTATATTAATGTATCATCTGCAAATATCTGAAGTTTACAATAATCTAAAATATTACAAATGTCATTAATGTATAAAATAAATAGTAGTGGACCTAGTTTACTACCTTGTGGTACACCTACAGAAATATTTTTTGAGCTTGATAATGTAGATCCAATTTTGTTTTTTTGACTTCTATCAATTAAGTAGCTTTGTAGAATTTTGAATACAGATCCTTTAAATCCGTTGTGATACAATTTTGTAAGTAATTTATCCCTGTCAATAGTCTCAAACGTCCTTTTGAAGTCCAAAAACACTTTTACTGTATGTTTCCTATTTTCCATACATCTCTTCCAGTCCTCTAAAACCATTTATTTGTATTCCCGTTTCAGTTGAGTGTTTCTTCCTGAATCCAGCTTGAAATTTGGTTAAAATTTCATTTCGCTCAATCAATTCAATGATCTGTTCGTAAATAATTTCTTTAAAGACTTTTTCAACATCTGGCAGAACATTTAGTGACATGTTCCCATATTCGTATTTTTTACAAGTTTTTTTTTATTTTTTACATGTTTGTTAGTATGTATGTAAGTATGAATGCGTGGGACAAATATTTTCAACTGAATTTTGAACTAGAAGACTTTAACCATTTGAGCCGAAATGTTGTACGCACATTTGCTGCCGCCATGTTGTGTGCAATATGACAGATGCTACAAAATGGTGATTCATCATTTCCATAGTAACCTCTATGATACACGTATCAAATGAAAGTGCTTGAAGAGAGAAACACAATAAGCAAAGTGACGTCATGCTAAATGAAATATGACGGCCGCCACAAAATGGCGATTTACATTTTTCATAGTCACCCCTATGATATTGGTATCCAATGAAAGGGCTTGATGAGAAAAACGCAATAAATAACAAACTGATGTCACTGTAAATTCATTATGCGACTACCCCAAGATGGCGTTTGTAGACATAGTCACCCTATGATATTATTATCAAATTAAAGGGCTTTTTGAGAGAAACATAACAAGCAACGTGACATCATTCTGAATCCAATATAAGGGCAACCACAATACTTTTTTAAAAACAAACTCCGATTTAGCTATTGGTAAACTGAATTAAAAACTAAACAACAAAATCCGATTGAAAATGTAAGATAATGAAGCTTTACCTCAAGTTTTCAAATAAAAATCTGTTACGTTTTGATAGCACAATCTTAAAAAGTGTATAACCCGCTTTAATTTGGAAACTTAAAATGAAAGAGCTTCATTATCGTTTAAATGGTGGCAGGAAGTTGGTACCCCTTTTTGTAGCACCCTTGATTATTTTCAGAGTTCTGAACGTCTCGTACTTTCTAATAGTTTTTTTTTGCGGAAGTTTTGAAAAAATGTTTTGGGGGTACCAACTTCACGCCGCACCCATTTTACGTAAATCGTGACTTCTGATCTGTGAATTTTCAAGGTAGTGAATAGATTTATAGTTCTCAATAGTTTTTACAAAATTTCCAAAATAAAGAAGGAATCGTCATCAACCATCCACGAGACAATTCACTAACTCACTAGCATGTCATTATCGCCAGAAAATTCGACAAGTACACGGCACTCCAGCACAGTAAGCCTCATCCAACCAGTGATGTTCCATAAATCTCAAACACTGAAATTGGGGATTCTATGAGAAAAAACTGCTCTTGGTTCGGGAAAATGTGGAGAAATACCTCCGAAATACAAAAAATTCCCACAAAAGTGATAAATCGCAGAGCTCTAGCACAGCATCCCCCTTTGATTCCTCTAGCATAATACTCAGTACGATTTCAGAAGCAGGACTCGGGGTGCTATTGGAAAAAAGCTAGCCTTGGTTGGAAAAAACGACCAGAAATAACTTCTAAGCTACAAAAATTCACATTAAAGTGAAAAAACGTGATCTAACGCAGCACTTCCCTCAAATATCTTTAGCATAATATTCTGTACAATTTCAAAAGCAGAACTCGATGGTGCTATTAGAAAAAACTACCGTTGGTTAGGGAAAATGTGGAAAAATTCCTCTGAAATAGAATACCTCCGAATTTTTCGACATTCGAAGGTATTTCTCGACATCTTCCCAACCCAGGGTAGTTTTTTCAAATGGCACCCCCAAGTTCTGCTTGTGAAATTGTACAGAATATTATGCTAAAGATATTTAAAGGAGGTGCTGCGTTAGAACAATGCGTTTTTACCCTTTTATGTGAATTTTTGTAGTTTCGAAGGTATTTCTCGTCGTTTTTCCCAACCAAGGGTAGTTTTTCTAATGTCACCGCCGAGTTCTGCTTTTGAAATTGTGCAAAATATTATGCTGAAGATATATGAGGGGGGTGCTACGCTGGAACTCTTCGTTTTTTCATTTTTATGAGAATTTTTGAAGTTTCCAACGCATTTCTCGTCGTTTTTCGCAACCAAGGTTAATTTTTTCTAAAGGCACCCCCGAGTTCTGCATTTGAAATTATACTTAGAACTATGCTCGAGATATCTAAAGGAGGTACTGTGCTGGAACTCTGCCTTATTTCAGTTATGTGGGAATTTTTAGACATTAGAAGGTATTTCTCGACACTTTCCCAACCAAGTGTAGTTTTTTTCTTATCGCACCCCCGAGTTCTGCTTTTGATATTGTACAGAATATTACGCTAGAGATATTTGAGGGGGTGCTGCGTTAGAATTCCGCGTCTTTTCACTTTTACGTGAATTTTTATACTTTCGAAGGTATTTCTCGTCGTTTTTCGCAACCAAGGGTAGTTTTTTCTAATAGCACCCCCGAGTTCTGCTTTTGAAACTGTACTGGGTATTACGCTAGAGGTATCTAAAGGGCGTACTGTGCTAGAGCTCTGCGATTTGTGGGAATTTTTGGTATTTCGGAGGTATTTCTCCACATTTTCCCCAACCAAGGGTAATTTTTTCTCATAGAATCCCCAACTTGGCTCAAAGATGGTGTATGCAGCAGCGAATTATTTGGAGCGGATTTACAGTATTTAGAAGAGATCGTGAGAGTTCATGTTCACAAAAAAGTGATGGTGGTGGTGTGTTAATCGAGGTAAAAAATGTCTTCAACTCAAAACGCTGTTATGAACTCGAATCTGATGCTGAAGATCTTTGGGTATCAATGGAACATATCAACGGTACCAAAATTATTTATAAGCTGTATATATTTACCACCTAAGGATAGCATTTCATATGCCTCAGTTGTAAGCAAATTATACCAGAATGAAGGTTTTTTTCGACAAAATACGGTGTTGTTGGTTGGTGACTTTAATCTTCGAAGTGTCAATTGGCAACCAGTACTTAATGAACCATTTATGGAGCCACTTGATGTTGAAGAGAAAACGAGTGCCTTACTTGACATATTGTCGTATCTACAGTTAATGCAATTTAATAAAATTTACAATTCAAATAACCTTTTATTAGACTTGATACTTAGTAACGAATGTTCAATATATATTTCGAATTCGGTTGATATATTGGTTCCTGAGGATAATCACCATCCTGCAATTACATTTTAAGCATGTTTTACTTAAGCCATTAATGCACCAGAGCCGATGCCTTTACAACTTTAATAAAGCTGACTATACTTCCATAAATAATACTCTTTTAGACATAGAATGGGAAAAATTATTTAGTACCAAATCTGTAGATGAAGCTGTAGCCATATTCTATAACATACTCAATGAAACTATTCACAAATTTACACCAACATATAAAATTCGAGGAAATTACCCAATATACTTTAAACTTGAAACAATACAAACAGTTAAGAGAAAAACTAAGTATCATAGGCTATACAAACGTTTTAATGATCCATACTCATACCAGATATTCTGTGACCTTAGAACCAAATCAAAAATCTTAATTAAGGAAAACCTGGATGAATACATAACAATGATGGAAAACTATATTGAACGACAGCCGACACTTCTAGAAATACGTTTCAAGTAAGAAAAAATGTCATGTCTCTATACCTAGTGCTATAAATCATTCAAACTATGAAGTTAAAACGGGGTGTGTAATTTCTTTGCAAGTGTATATGTTAAATCTAAACATTTTTACTTAAACAAGGATGCTAGTCCTATTGATGTTACCTTCATATCCATTGAAAAAAATTATCAACAAATAGTGTCCTTAGAAATAAAAAAATCAGTAGGCTCTGACGGCATACCTCCTGTATTTATAAAAAACTGTTCCGCTAGCTTACGTTTACCACTTCACCTAATTTTCAATCGATCACTAAACTTTGTATTTTCTCAAAAATTTTGAAATCTGATTTATGATGCTATCTTAAACATTACAAAAAATATCATTACGGAACACCAGCATGGATTTTTCACTAAAAGATCTGTAGAGACGAATTTGATGAGTATTATGCCTCTCACGCAATAGATGAGAAACTGCAGGTGGATGTTATTTATACCGACTCCAGCAGGGTTTTTGACAAGATTGATCATTCTATCTTGATGGAGAGACTTGCCGAGGTGGGTGTAGATGGTCCATTATGGCAATGGCTAGCATCGTATATAAGTAATCAGAAACAAGTGGTGACTATCAATGGGTATCGTTTGGAGACATTCTTAGTAACTTCAGGCGTACCACAAGGTAGTCTCTTAGGACCATTGTTAATTAACATATACATGAACAACCTTACTTCTGTTTTTCATTTCAGTAAATATTTGTTATATGCTGATGATCTAAAGATATTTACTATTGTTAGAAATGTAAATGACGGTGTAAAACTTCAAAGTGATTTGGAATCTCTGCAAAAGTATCTTCCTGAATTTAACAAAATGTCATTACATGAGGCTTACTAGAAACATAGCGAATACTATAGATTTCAGATATAAGATAGGGATGGCAGAACTGGAAAAGCTTCATGTAGTAAAAGACCTAGGGCTATACATTGATGAGAAACTCTCATTCATCACTCACGTAGAGCACATCGTAAATGATGCAAATAGAACACTAGGGTTTATAAACAGGACATGCAGAGAATTTATGAGCCCAAAAACACTTCTCTAAAAAAAAATATTAATATTAAAGTATTCAATAATGTAATATATGTATATGTATACGATATTTTATGTAAGTTTAGTTTTAGTTCACTGAGGGTGTGTGTTGGGTTTACCTGTTAACACCCCAAACTGTATATAAATAAATAGATAAACTTCAGTGTTTGAAAATTGTTGAACATCATTAGTTGCATCAATGTGTGAGGCTTACTGTGCTGGAGTGGTGAATTTTCTGGTGATAAAAGTGACGCGCTAGTGAATTGTCTCGTGGATGGTTGAATCTTACTTTTTTTCATTTTGGAAATTTTGCAGAACTCTTGCTAAAAACTATTGAGAAGATCTTTTCACTACCTTGAGAATCCACAGCGCAGAACCCACGTTTTACGTAAAAGGGGTGCGGCGTGAAGTTAGCACCCCCGAAACTTTTCCAAAATTCCGCAAAAAAAAAACTGCAGAACTATTGTCGCACCCCCCTGAGAACTGTAGAACTATTCGAAAGTGGTTTAGAACTTTGAAAATAATTACGGGTGCTGCAAAAAGGGGTGCCAACTTCCGGCGGATCGTTTAAATATCTCCAATAGGAAAAAATATTTTTTCACTTTTTCAACAAATAAATAAAAGATCAAAGATTGTTTTCAATTTTATATATTGTTCATGGCCAAAATCAAAGTATGCTGTTGTCAGAAACCCTTCAAAAAGGTTTGCTTAGCAAATGTCCATGACAATTACAGCATCTGTGATACAGAGAAATTTCTGCTCGCCCGTTTATCACTATCAAGATTCAATTTGTTATTTTACGGTTTTGTATGACTGTTTATTTTGCTTGCTATTTCAATATTTCCATACTGGCTATTTGAATCTAAATGGAAACCCTTACATTTCTGCAGGTTGCCCTAATGCACTGTGGCTATGCTAAATGCTAAAATCTCACAATCCATGGAAGGGATTGATGGTCAAGGACAAGGGCAGGTTTAAGGATGGTGGTAAAACCTAAGACAAATAAGTCAATATCATATATGTAGAAAAAACAATTTACATACTCATAAGTTTTTCATCTCTGGCCCTTCTTCTAGCCTGCTGGTAATTTGCATTAAACGCATCTGTAATTAAGAGAGATGGCCTTTGAAGTTTTTCAAGTTCACATCCATTCAAATGCCTTTCTTTCTTGTGATTGAAATCATTGGCATAAATGATGTCCTCTTCACCAAGTTTCATTATTTTCCAAATGGTTCCACCAATCATGTGGCCACCAGGAAGGGGTGTCACCACCAGTCCATAGCCTTTACCTGATGAAGCAAAAGGAAAGGAGAAATGTTAATGTGAATCCTTAGTTTCATTTTATTCGATGTAAAGTTGACAATCGAAGGACTGGGTGGATGAATGCATTATGTTAAATGGTTACGAAGCAACATGCTATGTGCCAATGCAGCATGATAACTTGTTTCATATTGCTGTGGTGGTATTTCTGGGATATTGACTCAATTTTGGTCAAACATTAAGAAAAAAATACTCAAATCATCCTAAATGTCCCGATTACCCAAAACTAACAGTTTGTATCACCCACTTGCTTTATCAATTATTTTTAAACAATACAAAGACAATTCATTGGATTTCAGTATTTTTGAATATGTACTCCCACTTGTTTTGCATATAATGTTAAGAAAATAAACTTTGAACTTCCTGAAACTTAAAGGGAATTTCTCAAGGGTCAATATTTCTGGAACCAGACATCACATTTTTTTATTTCCATTTTGATGTCAATTCGGAAAAGCCTTATCACCTAATTCAAGTAATCACTGCTTTGGTTTTGATATGATTTCCAAAATGATATGGAATCTATAACAGAAAATATAGTAGATTTGAAAGCAAAAACCACATATACACATATATAGTTCAGACTACAATACTACTTGTTTCTGGATAGCTTATAAGATTAATTTCTATTTCAACCTGTCTATATATACTTATTACACATAACAAACAAATTTTCTGTGCTTACCTTTCAAGGGCACTGTCTGATTATACTTTAACTGGATAATTTTCTCAAATGTGGTATCAACATCATCCAATGAGAATATACAAAACTCTTTCATATTATACTGCGATTGATACAAGTCATACATAAACATTTGACCCATTTTGTACACTGGAATAGTGGCATAAATGGGACAATTTAATCCTAACTTTCCTACAACATATGGTAGTGCTCCTAGATGTGTAACATCCGGGTATGATAGCAAAACTGCATCAATTGTATGCACATGTCTGAAAGAGAACGAAATGTGTTACTTTGTTAAGCATTACCTTATTAATAAATGTATTGTGTAAGCAAGTACCATTACATAAAAAGAAAAGCGGAAGAACTGTGTTTTATCTGAACTGTATAAAAATACTTTATATTAACAAATGAATCATCCTATCAATTGAAGGCAGCAGCAGTGGCCGCAGTAGTGTCGCCTGATCAGTCGCCATGCGCTGCGCGGGTTCGAATCCCGTCCCAATAGAAATTTTTCTCTTAGCTATGGATGTTGTGATTGTCCGTAGGTGGTAGATGGTCTCTGACTATCGCATGCAGAGGTACCACCTGGCGGATCTCGTAGGCGGGGCCAGAATATATGCATGTTGCATGCACACGTGTTCCCTTGCCAGAGTCTGTGTGCTATTTCCCCTTTCCCCTGAAATCCCCCTATAGCCCCAAGGTACTCCATGGGTGTTTAGCCCTTAGGCCTGCGTGGTGATTGGAGTATAAAAAAAAAAGACTAAGGGACTAGAACTAACTTCTACTTCATGTAGCTGCGATTAGGTTTGTGGTTTGTGATGATATAAGGTAGTCGAAAATTTGAGATATTTTATGCTTTATGTATCGAGGGTTGATATTTGTAAAGTGCCACTGGTGTTAACATGCCAAGGACATAAACATATATTAAACCAAAGATAACATACTATATGTTAAATCCAAAATGCTGCTCGATTACATGCGGACCGAATAAATGCTGTCCGTCTGCAATACGCCGTGGCCGTAGCGTTACTCATAGAAGCCCGTGATGCACATACGAGGTGAGCGCGGTAATTATATATACTCTATCTATGCCTATGAGTCTTATGCTATTGTGGTATTGCATTAACTGGTTCTGCAGAGTTTGTAGGTTCGTATCCAAAGCTAGTCGTACACCTCAACTCATAACAAACAGGCCTGTCATATATTTTTTTTTTCTTGAAAACCTGCAGATGTGCGTCGATGTGCTTCTGAGGGTTTAAAGTACACAACAGCAGCGGTGGCCGCAGTAGTAAACTCTGCGGTCGCCGTACGCTGTGCGAGTTCGAGTCCCGTCCCAGGAGAAATTTTTTTCTGACTGTCGAACGCGGAGGTACCACCCGGCGGATCTCGTAGGCGAAGCGAAGTCCATGTGACGTTCCCCCTTTCCCATGTATCCCCCTATAGCCCCACGGTACCCAATGGGTGCTTAGGCCCTAGGCCTTCCTGCTAGTTGGAGTATAAAAAAAAACAAGAGCTATTATAATCAGTTATCGTAATGTCATTACAAACGGTCTTACACCCCAGCTCCAAAGAAAGAAGTCTGTCGGGTGCGCGATAGTCACTGCAATTTAGGAAAAAAATTTTTTCGTGAACCTGCAGATGTGCGTCGATGTGCTTTTCAGGGTTTAATGTACACAACAGTTGTTGATAAGCATTATGTCAATTTGAAGTTAGGAGGCACTAGGGTTATTTTACTGCATATAATGATGCCCATGGGCTAACAAGCAGGATGTATTCATAAAATATAATTTACTGTGGAGGAGGAAGCAGATAAATGTAAATATTTGGTATTTGGTTTCAATTACTAATAAATAGAAATCTTTCTTGAAAAGACTTAAATCATTTTAATCAGTGAAGGGTGGAACATTGTGACTTCGTTTTTACCTTTTTATCTCCTTTATAAATTCCATGTTGAATTTTTCGTCCCAACCACAATCCAGCAGTATCCTAACATCGTCTATTTGTAGGATGTAGCAAGGTGGAGACTCATCCATGGCCCCGCTCAAAGCTTGCAATTTTATAATTGAAGTCATACTGTAATTGCTCGTGAAAGATACGTGAATGTGATAAAACGGTATGAGAAAACAATTATAAATATAACTAAATGTTCATCATAACAAACGGTGAACTTAAAAACTGAGTAAAAATCTTCACTTGAGGTTTGAGGTTAGCTTTTTTACCCGACAACACAACAACTAATGGCAGTTGACAGGAATGACACACGATCAGTCACTCGTTACGTAGTTGCCAGATCTTACCTTATGTAATCAATTTTGATACACGGACTCGCAGAACTCAATCCAAAGCCCGCAGGAGCTGTGTGCATTGGCCCCTTTGCGACTTGCGACGCCAGTGCTATTTTTTGTTTGTTACTCATAAAATACATCTTTGTGACCATAGCTAAAAATTACAGGATTTCCTGAAAGTTAGGGCTTTCGCTTTAGCAGTAGCGAAAAAGTAAGACAAATGTAAAAGTACTCACCCTCCATTTACAGAGATATCAAGTATGACCTTGTCACTTATAAGTGATCTTCGAAGTTGTCGATGTTGTTAAAACATTTCGTAAAAGGTATTGTAAACCGTCCAGCCGATTCGAAAAAATAAAACGTCCAATGACCATGCTATTTAACACCACAGTCCAAACTTTCATAGAAGATGTTTGTTCAAATTTGACTGGCGAACTACGTGAGGATCGTTCAATGACCAAACATAAGTATTTCGGAAGTTATTCACTCCGTTATGCGTTAAGGTTGATTTTTTCGTGATTAATATGGACTTCAATCCCGTATTATTTTCTTGAACGTACAACAACTCACAAAAACCCACTCCTGCAAGAAAATCCTCAGCTTGTACAAAAGAGTTCAATTTATCATCACGCAGCGTTTGCCACACTTTAGTCTTGGAGACTTGCACTTGTCTAGCCACTACCCTTGCACTTGTTGAACTATTCTCTTCTACAAAATTAAAAACTCCTTTCTCAGATTGCACCTTTCAGGATTGTCAAGGTCACCCACTGTGCCCTCCTCGAAATTGCTGCTAATGACCTCTTTGTACAAGGTAAGCAAATCTACGGGGTCCTGAATAATAACATCTGGGAAAGCGATCTGCGTACGCTCTCAAAGCCTCGGTAGCATTTTGAAGACACTCACCGTAAATTAAAATCATGTCAGCAAGTTCAATATTGCTGTAAGAGTATGGAATTTGTTTTTTTTTCGAATCGATTCGTAAATAAATGTTTTGTTTACCTACGCTGCCGAACCTGGGTTGAGTACTGACGTGCGTCGTGCCTTCTCACTTTTGATGTGATGGACATACAGAAGCGGATTAGGTTTGGGTTAGGTTTGATTGATTTTTCGGTGCCTATACTATCTTGATTATCCTATGATGTGTATGCTACTATAAGGAGAACCGCTGATTTTTTTCAAGATCTATACGCCATGTAAAGGATACTCCCACCTTCGCGGCTGGTTATAGCCACTTGCTGTGGTACTTCAAGCCCAAAGGATCGTGCGGAGAAAAAAGGAGGAAAGTGGATAGGATAGGTAACGCAAGCGATACGTATTTCTGCTGGTTGGCTTTATCACGCCCGAAATGAATGCACATATGCAACTGTGGTTAGATTTCTCCTTAAAAATCCGAGGTTTTCTAGCCAACTTATACTACAATGTGTAGGTTGACTCTTGTGGACTTCGTGTGCTATTTTTTCCTCTCCATCTTCGTTTCCTCAGGTTACACCCGTATCCGGATGTGTGAGCTCGAATCCACTGTCCTCCTTTTTGCGGATTTTGTCCATTATTTTCCTACTTTTTGTTATATACCTTCCTCGGCACGATCATGTTCTATTTTATATATATATATATATATATATATATAATAAATTGCAAAGCAATATACTTGAAATAGTTCATTTCGCGTTTGCTCGCTATGAGCGTCACCAACAGGGTCATCTGTGGAGGTATGACTCAACAACAAGTTTAATGACCATGTTGCAAATGTGACAGAGAAAATTGGTTGAGTAGCAAGTAACAAGATCGCATCTGGATGATTGTGTGTATTGGTCTACGTGTTATTTTCGTTGTCCTTTTTGAAGAGAGGTTATGTTCATAGTTATAAATTACGATTTTCCCCCGTTTTTTGCATTTTAAGAAGCATTGCGGGAAATCACCGCGTTGTGTGTGATTAAGCCACTTCACAAAAAATTTAGAATGACGTATCACACACATTTTCGCAGTACCTCACTTCTAAGCGCTGACTTGTATTTTCTATTTGATATAGCAAAAAAATAATGTAAAATATAATAACTTTTTCACATTTCATAAATATTACTATCTGTGGCATATTTTCTCACCTGTTGGTTGTACTATATTTCACCAGCCAGCGATTTTCTTTCCTTATCTCTCTCATTTCTGAAAACTAATAAATTTTTCTACGTAATTTCCAGGATGAATGAAAAAAAGTAAATGCACAACTAATTTCTAGCTTTGCATACATCTAAAGTAAGTGTATTTGAGACAAGAAACCAACGGAAATATCATCAACACAGATTATTAGCACACAAATCCTCACTATGCACCTATGCACTGCCGTTTCCTTCCAGCTATGGTATACAACATACAGCTTAGACCTCCAATAATGCCATTTCTGAATCAGAGCAAAACATTGATAGCTGAAGTGTCATGACTTTTAGGCAACACGATATTCATCTACAGAATGAGAGCACATCAAGTGTACAACTGCTAGATCTAAGTTGATATCTTGTATAAAAACTTACATAATGTCACAAAAAAAACGTTACATAATGTCACTTTTCAAGATACGTAATACCCCTGCCCGCCTATAAAATATGTGTATAGCACACGTATCTTGACTTTTAGGTAACACACACAGCTACTACGAGTGAATATGAAGTGAAAACACTGAAAACCCATTAACTTTATATGCAGCAACACTGCCTTTATGACTAATTAACTAAAAATATGATTGATATTCGTGTCATTCATGACAACTTGTGACTGTCAAGCACATTAACATCAAATCCAAGCGAATAACCAAAATTTCTGTGTTATGTGTCGCGGTTATAATATGGTTCAAGATGACACACGGGTTGATGACGTCAGTTACACGAATCGCTTGAACGCGTTGGTTTTAACCGCGGTTTTGTTGCAAGTTGTTTATTTTAGAAAAGCGTGTATATAATCTCTGATTATTTTTATTATCACTTAATAATCGGTGCTTTTTTGTCTACAACTGTATATGGAAAGTTTAAATAAGAAACCTTTCATAATATTCATGAGAGAAATGTTTTTTTCAGATTTTCTTTTTAGTGATGGAACCATGGCTTTGTGGCTATGATAACTTTCAATTCTCTAAATTTTTCCGCATGTCAAAGAAAACATTTATTGATTCAGCAGAAATGATGAAAAAAGAAATAGCAAAACCGTATACAGGTGGATATCATCTAGTGAGTTTATATGGCCATATTTTAATATTCTTGTGGTATATGGCTACACAAGATACTTTGTTAAGCATAGGAACTAGATTTAACGTGACCCCAACAACAGTAATGAGTATAACTAATAAGGTGCTCCACTTTATGGTAAAACTGAAGTCAGCCTGTATCATTTTTCTCAAAAATGAAGCTGAAGTACAATAACAATATCCAATACCCGGCAAAATTCTAACTTGTCACATTTCAAATAATAACCAGAAATATAAAACTACTCTTGAGTTGGGTAAATACCACAATTTTGCGGTGATAACTATGACATATAACAGCTGATTCGTGACGTCACGGATCTTATAACCAAACTGATAACTACACTCGCTTGAACGGATTGGTAAATACCAACCCAAAATGGTAAATACCATTTCCATTTGGTTATCCGCTTGAATTTGATTTAAGAGTAGTCATTGCGGCTTGACGGCAACATTATATTTATCATATTCTGATGGTCCTCCGGTTGAAACTAACTACCCCTTTGGGTCAAACCTGACATTGAAAAACGCTTTTTAATAGTTAATTTCTGGTTAGCAATCAACTTGCGGTTAACTTGTGACTAAAAAACCGGCCCATACTGTGGGCTCTCATTGACGTTTTACCCATTTGAGTAAGACGTCAACGGTGGCTCTGATGTGTTGTAGCATCTGCTTTACAGATGGCACTTGTAGAGGCCATTCATTGCTTTTATGGCCTAAGCTGTATGTTCTCTACATTATTGCATGCAAGACGGTGGTTATGCAATTTATCCAAAGATGGCATTCGCAGTGAGTATGGGCCAGGGCCAGGGACTACCTAGTACACCAGTGACGAGTGGTGACAAGGGTAGATTGCAGATTTAGGAAGCATGTTCGTCTCGGGTGGGGGGTTACCGGCTGCATGCTAAGGTAGGGTGGCGCACACGTCTCAAGATTCAAATCTAATAATGTAATTTTTCATCAGATCGCTATCATAGCGATATTTTACAAAATACATTCAATTCGACCATGTTGAGATGTTCTGGCAACATTGGGAGGATATGACAGTTCCTTAGACACTTGACAATTTTGACAGTGACACATGTAATCAAATTGGAATTGGAAGGCAGCTGGAAGGAGAAAAAGCAAGTGGCCAAGTGGTGCTTTTGGATTTCGTTTTTTTACAAACATACGAGCCCGAAATACCTGGAATAAAAGCTGTAGTTCATCAGTCTAGTACATTCTCTCAAAATCTAGGATATTGGTATGTGTATTGTAAATTGTGTATGCTGATAACTTCAATATTGTGGTTTTTCAGTGACTTCAACTTAACCTATAAAAGAACGCTGCGAAAATGCCCCTTTCCTGTAGGTTTTATAAGGAAAAGTACCCGGAGGTAGAAGATGTAGTGATGGTAAATGTACGAGCAATAGCTGAAATGGGGGCATACGTCCATCTACTAGAATACAACAATATTGAAGGAATGATTCTGCTCTCTGAACTGTCGAGAAGGCGTATTCGATCCATCAACAAACTGATCAGAGTAGGAAAAACGGAGCCTGTTGTAGTAATAAGGGTTGATAAAGAAAAGGGATATATTGATTTATCGAAACGCCGAGTAAGTGCCGAGGATGTTGAAAAGTGCACAGAACGATTTGCAAAAGCGAAAGCTGTTAATTCTATTCTCAGACATGTTGCAGAATTGTTGAAATATGAATCTGACGAACAGTTAGAAGAACTGTATCAAAAGACTGCCTGGCACTTTGAAGAGAAGTACAAGAAGAACAAAGCTAGTGCATATGATTTTTTCAAGCAGGCAGTATTGTAAGTATGTCATACTTCATAAGTACTTTGATTATTATCCAGGCTACAAGATATTGTAGTATATGATTTTTGGCCGATATAATAGCTCCTAATATTCAAAATCAATATTTAGTTATGAGTTTATTCTATATACACACTGTAAAATAGTGCAACTGATCTACAAATTTATATGTATCTAGGATGATTTACAGACAAAAATTTATTTATTTATTTAGAGTACAAAGTAATTTGGTCTGTTTTTACCAGACTGTGCTAGTGGTCATGAATCTTCTATAGCAACATCTGATTGCGATTATATGAGAGATAGCTGTGAATTATATATGGTGCATATTGCTTTGAGTTTTATGGTGTTAAAAATGTAGAATTTTGTCGCAAATAAGGATCATTTGCAGGAAGTTTTATTTATCTGTTTCAATTGATTGGAAAGTGCAAGCATAGAATCTAGGTACCTTATGAATTTGAGCCAAGAGATTTTGAAAGGCAACTTTTCATTAGCTAGTAGCTACCTCAAAGGCATAAAAGAAAGGGGTTTTTGCATCAGATTACTTCAAATAAGTGCATTCTTTACACTAAAAAATGTACCAAATTAATTTGCACTTCCAGTATTATAACAAAGGATAGTTAAGTTTTAGAGGCACCTAAGTAACTTCAACACTTGCTCATCAACAAACAAATATATTTCAAATAATATCAAAATTTGAAAACATTTAAATAAACAAAATATCATTATAGTACAAAAGTTTCAAATCAAGGTTAATTTGATTCCTGTATACCTATTAAGTATTTTAATAAAATCTTCGTCAAAAATGTATTGATTTTGTAAATTTCTTACTGTTTGTGGTATTCCTCATTTCAATTGGTAATGTAAATTTTTCTGTAAAGTAATTCAAAAAAATTGGTGGGTTATATCCCTATTATATCTTGGAGTGCCAAGCACCAATCAGAATAATTCAAAATTAAGTTAGTATGTTACTGAAAATATAAGAAATTGACAACTTCCAGAGTTCTGTGCTTGAATCATGAGATAAATAATAATAATAATGTTTTTTGTCCAAACTATAAGGGGCCGTTCAAGTATTACGTAAGCAGATTTATTACAGTTATTTATCCCCCCATCCCCCTTGTTAGCAAAAGTAAGCAAAGCTCTTACCCCCTCCCCCCATGCTTACGTAAACATTTGTCAATTAATGTATTGTTTTTTTTTTAATATTATAATTATAACGTTATAATTATAATTTGAAAAATAAGAAAATAGATTTAGGATACAGATTATATTTTACTGATACGGTATTCAACATAGAGTAAAGGACAAAAATATTATATCTTACTAACATAACAAACTTATTTTAAATTTTTGGTACATATATTGAAATCAAGTCTTCAGTCCATGAAACCTGAATCCATGATTCTAAGTTTTCGATGACATTGGATTGCTTTGATTGCTGCTCAGTGTTGTGAGTTTGCATCATGGTGCTCTAAATTTTGAATAATGCACATCAGTTCATTAGCACGACGAGCAGCGACTCTTACATGTCTAACTTTCCTATCAGTGTGCGTGTTTACTTTTTTATGGATATTTTCGATGTGACGATTTAGTGACTTGACGGAAGCATGATAAAGACCACACGTTTTGCATGTTCGACTTGATAGCCTCAATTTTACCGTCGGACAAAAATAGTCGTAAAGCATTTGCAGGAAATCTTTGAGTGAAACACTTAAGCGTAGAGCTAAATTGACTGGAAGATTAAGAAATTGCTCTCCTTCATCCAAAACCAAGTCATCAACTGTTTGTTTTACTTTTACAGGTGGTTGAAGAAACCTATTGTCTAGTAATCAAAATAGGCCACTTCTTGGACAACAGCATTCTGTATTTCTACATTTTACAATTTGAAGCAAGTATTGGCTCTCACGCACATGTTCTGAATACCATTTAATGTCTGGAACATCAGGAAGATCTTGTTCACCTGCCCCAACATATTTTGCATTAACATTATAGCCATCAATTTCCATTGAACTCCATACTTCAGCTAATACACTTCCTGCAAATTCAAAATTAGATCTTTCTAAATGTTTATCAATTGTAACGCAATGTTCATCCAAATGAGACCCAAAATGGTCATGAGGCAATATTCAACCAACCAGTTTCCAACTAACAGGAGCCATTCTGCGCTCTACTCTGTTATACGCACTTCTTCCAGGAGCATTGGTAGCTAAAAACAATGCATCGAGATCATGTCGCTTAAAGTGTTGTATAGCAAACCCTATGACTTTTTGATAACGTGGATTTTCATCTGGCCCTCCATCAACAGTCATGATTACCACTGGTTTTACTAGTCCATGGTTAGTTTTAGCTAATGGTCGAAACTCTTCAAGTTCGAGAAGCTTCTCGAAATCCTGAGCATGAGTATTAGCAGTAGATGAACTATGCTTTCCACTTCGAATAGCGATGTATGTTGGTCCAGAATATCCAATGGCCTGCGGTTGTCCTAGCATATTGGAAGTGATTTTGATACCAGCATAAACAGATGGTATTAATTTATGATGCTCAGCTATTACTCAATCGTGATCAGGCACTTTGATTCTATATTCCATGTGCATTAGAAGAGGTGCTTGCTTATTTGCCGCAGTTACGCCAATAGGGACTCGAGCTTTATCATCTTGAGATATGAAAAATACTTGATCTGGCCCAAGTATGGATGCTATGATCTCTAAATAATGGATTGATGTTTCAGCAAACTTGCTATCTAAGTGGCTCTTGTGGTGTTCAGTTTGAGCCCGAATGAGCTTAACAGGGACTGTCGATACATGTCTTCATCCCTCTGCAGAATTAGATTTTCTGGGAATCAAACGAAGATATGTCCCACTGCGACTAATGTCAAATCCTATTTTACGTAATTCTTGTGGGAGTTCATCAAGAGTTTTTACGCTGCGAATTGATTCCGTTCGTCTTCTATCATCTGCTGCACTCCCAAATAAAGCTATATCCGCGATTGTTTTCAATAGTGAATGTTGATTGCTTTCAAGATTAGAACGTCCCAGTGAATCACTCAGAGATAGTCTTTTTTTTATTTCTGGATTTTCATGACAAATATCATCTAACTTTCTTTTCATACCATCCCTGTGTTTCTTCTGGGCAACTGCGTTTTGAACCTTCCTGTTTAAAGACTGTTTTGCTGTTTTTATTTCCTCGCGCAACTTAATGATCTGTTCATCAACTTCAGCATGGCTTGGCGTAGTATCTCTGGCAGAATACAAAGCATTCAGATTTTTTTCGAGTAGAGCAATCTTATTTTTCATAGCTTCCTGAGAAGGTTTTGCTCTCTGTTTATCTGTATTTTCATATCTTTTTTAATATTTGAAGCTGACTGTATAATTTGTGTTTTTCCTGCAGGTTTACAGGTTGCCTAAAAATAAAAACTGTCTATAGCTTCTGTTAAAGATTCTCTTATTAAGCTTAAATACAAAGTATGGCAATATATATATGGTAAATACAAAATCCCTATGGCTTTAAATCTAATATGTTTAAACGAGCAATTCGTTCCGGTCACAAAATACAGGGTGTTAGTTTTCTATATAGATGTATAAAACTAACATCCTGTACTTTGTGACCAATTGACGGAATCAATCATAAGAAATAAATCTATAATATAATGAATATTACATCTCTACTTTGAGATAGGCCATATTTTCTAATCAGTAAAGAGAAACTTTTGTCGATTTCTAATATTTCTAGTACTCATAGGTACCTAAAATGATTTCGTCACTCACCTTAGAAAAAAAATTTAGTAGATTGGATTTATTCTTAGTCGCCGCTTGAAATTGCAATTTGTAACTTCGTTAACCAACTTTTGTACATTTTGTACTTTCGTACTTGTATGAGATTTTTTAAAACTTTCAAACAACTTTTGGTATAACTTGGATTTGTCTATGTGAAACGACATCTTATTTAAACATTAAACTTTGGCTAATGGAATCAATGGTAACATAAATGTTAACTTGCTTTACTATGCTTACAATACGTCTACTCGCTATAGTATCCAAACGAAACAATACACTGATAGAGGAAAGTTAGACAAGTGAACATCGCGCGGTAATTCCCCTACTCGGTTCTAAAGCGAGTAGGGGAATTACCACGCGCTGTTCACTAAACGTATGCATTATTAATCATCATCTAGACGCCCCCATGTCATCCAAAATAAGCAAAGCAAAGAACCCCCCGCCCCCCCATATTGCTCACGTAATACTTGAACGGCCCCTAAGCAGGTAACTAAAAAGGACATATTTTAGAACAATAGACATGGAAGAAAACATGCAGAAGGCTAGGAAGCTACACAAATCGATTCCTTTTGGAATTCTCTCAGTTGGTGCTCACCACCATTGGTGTTGTTATAAGTTCACTTTATATTTTTATTTATTTATTTAATGCCAGACTGTCTAGATAGCTAGGAATCATCACAAATACACTTATGATTGGTCAAATAAGCTATTAGGGGCTAGAAAAAAATTTAATTTCAGGCAGATTTTTTTTTGTTATTAAACAAAATCATCTATCCATGTAGGGCCCTAAAAGTTAGATAGCTATGTGATACCTTGTAGGTTTTGAGAATAACTGTATCAATAAATTAATAAATCACCCCCACATCATGAAAAGCTGTAAGTTATTACATAGCTGTTTAATTTTCAGGGCCCTACGCGGAATTTTACACGATTTAGTTCAGAAGGAAAAGAGAAGTGTCTGCTTGAAATTCAATTTTTTTCTAACCTCAAATTGCTCATTTGACCAACCAAGGGTGTATTTGACATGGCTGCCAGTTGTCTAGACATCCTAACCTTGATTTACTTATTTCCAATCACATTTGTGAATACCATACTGTAAGAACAAAAACAAACAGAAATTTTGTTAAATAAAGTCTTTTAACTCATATCTATACTAAATACCTAAAAAGTATAACACTTAACAATACTTAACAATTGTTTTTAAAACACATCTACACTTAATAACAAATGAAAACTAATATTATGTAACACACCTCTAACCACCCACTGTATAGGTTTATCAAACACGCTATTAGGTTTCATTTAAAGATATCTTCCATCATAATTGTTTTAATACTGTTGTTTGTTGTAAAGCTTAATTCCAACTTAGTTTAAGCTTAATCTGTGTTTTATGTCTAACAGTATTTTACAAAAAGCTAGAACCGTAATCATTGTATATCTTCCTTTTAGAGATCCTAGTATACTAGCTGAATGTGAACTGGATGAGAAAACAAAGGAGGTATTGCTGAGCAATATCAAACGCAAACTCACCTCTCAAGCAGTTAAGATTAGAGCTGACATTGAATGTGCCTGTTATGGTTATGAAGGTATAGATGCTGTTAAAACTGCTTTAAAATCTGGACTATTGTTATCAACTGATGAGCTGCCTATTAAGATCAACCTTATAGCTCCCCCATTGTATGGTAAGAAATATACATCATTTATATCTTCCTATTCATAATAAAATAAGTAGTCGCTGTGAGTTAGGTCTCTCTATCATTGATTACATTCAACCGATGTAACTGATCCAGCATCCTAGTGCTATTGGGCATAATCTTTGTCAGTTTGACAGCAGTTTCCACTTTACTGTCAGCATTGATAATTTGTCGCGATCGCTTTACGCACAATCTCAGATACGCTTATCTCATTTCAGTTTGCTCGGTTCTTTTTATCAAAACTCGGTTTCAATGAGGTGAAATTTTCAGACTAAAGACAGCTGAGCGACATTTGTCATCACTTACAAGGAACTTCATTAACATTGCTAGATTATATAGGCAATAGTTTTTTAATGATTTTACTGTTTTAAGCATGTATTAACAGTTTTAAACAAAAAGAAAACAATTTTTTTTTAATAAACATGTTTTTTTAACCCACATTGGTACCCGTGTTTTTCAGGTATTCCCCGGGTCCCATAATTCTTGGATACCCAGCTATACCCGACCCGGGTACCTGGGTCCAAAAACCCTAGTATTGAGTGAAGCAAAAGCATCATAAATTTAAAAGCTGTTTTTCTAACTGTGAACAACTACTGACTTGACAGCCTCATCTGTTGGGACTGTCTCACTTCACTTGGAAAACAAATGCAATTTAAATGTAAACTGTCAAAAGATATTGGAAGGCTACTGTTAATTAGCATAAAAGCGATGCACCACTAGACCTCTTTACATTCACTGAACTTTTTCATAGATTCTATCTACTCATCAGCTCCTGTTCAAAATATATTTAATAAAATAGAACTAAGTTCTGCTTGATGGGTATTGGGGGACACTAAAATCTAAAAAATTGATGGTATGTCATCTAAAGTCGAGAAATGATTTTTTTTCAAACTGGTCTGAGGAAATCGAATAAAAGTTACTATTCTCATTAATTGTCACCTTAAGTGAGCAATTGTTGTTACTATCAGTGCTGTGGAAAAGTTTTCTTAAGCTGTTTGAAAAATTAAATGTGAAAGGTACATTTTTCTCGTGTTCGATAAAGATAGCCAATCAGAAAATTCGCTGAAACTGATTACCAACTTTATTCTAGTCATGACTACATCAACACCAGAGAAACAAGAAGGCTTGAAAATACTTAATGAAGCTATAGAGAAAATTAAATTGACGATAGAAGAATTGGGCGGTGTTTTCAACATTCAAATGGCAGTAAGTATATGTTTAGAGTATTTTTCAGGCTAGGCAGCATGTTAAAGTACATATTCATACTTGTAATTCCATTCATTAGGATAAGAAAGGAATTCAGAACTCTGGAATAGCATTATGTAGTTAGTATTGCTAGTAGGACTTTCGTCTGCCCCAGACAATATATGTGGTTGATTGATTACTATTGAAACTAGAGATATAAATTATTTGAAAAAAATGCTGAGCTTTGTGGATAAAATGTTACTCTAGTGAATCCTGAAGCTTAAAAGGTTTGGTGAAAATTCATAGACCTTAGCCAAATGGATTCATCAGTAATGAATTTGTTTTATCTTGCTAAACCATTATTGCTTTCCAGTTCTTTGTTTATAGTCCTCATTTTCACATTAGATTATCCAGTGTTCCAGTGTTTTATTAAAATTAAGAACCTCATAGGATGGTAAAGAAAATGAACAGAGTAGGCATTGCAAGCCGTCGATCGCACCTGCTTGATGTTTCAGTAAGGTTATGTGTGTTAGGTGTGGGAATCTAAGGCCAGTAGATACCTTTGTCACAGCACAATATACAGGGTGTTTTCAAAGTTGAGTCATTTATTTTAACAGCTTGTAGAACCCGTCAAAAATCACCTATATATATCAAGAGATTAGTTTAAATTATTGAAAATTATTAATAAAATCATTATCAAGTTAAATGGATACCGTTTTTACAAAAACTGTTCAAAATTGTCCCCATTTGTTAGATTAACGCAAAATCTTCCGCGGCCAATCCACGACAAGCTTCGAAAATAAAATCCTGGTGTCCACAAATTTAATCACAAGCTTTTTTGTGCACTGTTGAAGTTCTCCCAGAGTATCTACTGCTCAGTCATGATACACCAACTCTTTCAAATAGCCCCACAGAGAAAAATCGCATAGGCGCTAAATCCGGGAGCGAGCAGGCCAAGAAATGGGTACATTGCGCCCTATTCATCTCCTCGTTAACTCATTATTTAGATGTTCATGAACTTCTCGTCTGAACTGTGGTGGAGCCCCATCATGTAGGAACCACTTATGCTGTCTCACATTTAGAGGAACGTATAATAATTGTGACATATTGTATTGAAGAAAATCTAAATAAATTCCACCTGTCAGTCGAAGTGAAAAAAAGCAGGGTCCAATAAGCAAGCCATTTACCACGCCAGCCCAAACATTTACTGAAAATGATTGTTGTGGAAATGGTGCACTTCATTTCGTGTAAATGTGGCCTCGTCTGTACACAAAATTAAACATGGCCATTTTTTGCACAAAATATGACAAATTAAAGTATACCCACTATTAAAAGACTGATAAAACTGATCGAACCAAAGCCTCGTACTGAAAACCGTCCAACAACACAAAAGGTTGCCAAATTTAGATAAACGTTAAGAGTAGTAAACAAAACAACGCTAAAATTTTACACGGCAGTGGTCGAGAATATCAACAAATCCGTATAATATCATTTTTTAAATGTTTAATGGTCTACTGTTTCTTTTATTATGCAACTTTTATATAGGTGATTTTTGGTATATCAACTCATTTTGACGAGTCTCACAAGCAGTTAAAGTAAATGACTCAACTTTGAAAACACCACTGAATCAAATTAACGCTAATTTGACCCCTCTATAACTTGTAAAGTACCGCTCGGGTGTTGATTAAATTTGCACACAATACTGATACTATGTCAAGGACGTAAAAGCTTTGTAGTTTTTGAAAATCGGTCCAGTGGCGGCGCAGCGAGGAGCAAAGCACGACAAAAATAAAAATAGCCTGGGGAGGGTATGTCTCAATTTTTGGAGTTAGTATATTTATACGTCTCCAACCCCAGCAATTCTACGCATCTATTAGGCATATTTTACTCATCATGCATGTCCCCATACATATACCCTTAAAACTTGGAAATATTTCCAACTGACGTGTCAGTGCGTACGAACGTGGTCCCCTGATGGATGAGCGCCACTCGACATTTGCTGATGACTGCGACACTAACTACGACGCCATTTTTTAATAAGAGGAATGATCTTTCGGAACCACTCTTTCAAAGGTGTTTCGACTCGATTATATTTTTTTCTGCGCCAAAATTGAGAAATATACTCAGTGACATTAGAAGTATTAGAAGAAAAGATAATTTCTTCAACTTGTTTTTTTTTTTTGGCAATGAGGTAGTCTTACAACAAGAATGAAACGAGAACATTCACACGAAATTTTATTGACAAGTAAAAAGAAAAAAATAAAAATGTGTTGGGTGACCCCGCAGCTGAACACACTCCTGTATACGTCTAAGCATCGTCAAAATGAGATGATCGATGTCTGGTTGTGGCACCTCATTCCAAGCAACTCGGACTTTGGGGATGTGCGTTGTCTTGCTGAAAAGGGACGCGTAGACGGAATGCGCAGCAGTCATATTGCCTTGAACAAAGAGAAGGGGTGATCGGCTACCATAGGCAATAACCCCCCCTCCAACAGTCCTGTGTACATGTATCTCAACAGCAAATCCAATATCACGCCGTTCCCCATAGCGGCGTCTTACCCTTCAACGATCATCCTGCGTGCCTAGACAGAATCGCGATTGGTCGCTGAAGATGATATGCCATTCTGCATCCCAATGTTGACGACAGTGGTCTGCAGTCAGAGGAAGTACAAACCGTGGCGATAGAGTGTATGCTCAGAAACGGGTCTACCTTCTCCAAATCATTTATTCAGCGATCTGACACGAAGTAGCAGATCGGTCTGAGGCGCCTATCTTGACGCTCTGTGGTACGCCTTGGTGGACCGGTTGGCCTTCTTCGGTTTCCTCTACCTTCTTCTATCCACACACGACACACATGCATTACCGTCAGTGCAGCACAATTAACACTGCGGTCAATTTCGCGATAGGACAAACCAACATCTCGATAGGCAATAATTCTACCCCTGTCAAAGTCTCAAACATGGTGATAATTTGGACGTCTTCGAGCTCGAAGCATTTGTTATGCTTAACATTAGTAAATGAAGGGCAATAACTAAAAATATCTGTAAAGCTCAGCTCTCAGAAGCTGCTTTCTTCACAAAATCTAAGAGATAACATTTTAACAAAGGTAAACAAAGACAAAGATAAAACGTTGGCCTTGCTGCCACAACATGCTTTAAATATAGTCATTATGTTGCCAAAAAAACAAGTTGAGGAAATTATTTTTTCTTGGTGTAGCACTTCTAATGTCAGGTATATATATTTTGTATATTTGACTGGTCCCGTGGTTTAATACTAAAAACGATCTAGTTGAAAACATTTTTTATTGTGAACCCACAATAAATTCTCATGTTTTCAGCCTAAAGTGGTGACAGCCACCGACGAAGCAGAGTTGGTGAAACAAATGGAACGCGCCGAGCTGGAGAACGCTGAAGTCGCTGGTGATGATGACGATGAAGAAGAAGAGGACGAAGGACAGATTTACAGCGAAGGTGAAGAGAAGGACGATGATTCCGAGAAAGGAGAAGAGTAAATTCAGATTTATTTATATGCGAAATAAATTTTTTTATATCTATCCATGCTGAGAATGTTCATATTATTACGATAATGTGAAAAGTATAAACTTAATTTTATTTTTGGTATATTATTTCTTCCTCGGAGTTTACTACTAAAGATGGGATATTACTTACATTCCGTAATAACGGCAACATTCCCATAAATATAACGATCCTTGACTCTGTTATCCCGAATAAACTGTTTGCTCAGTTGGTAGCTATGAGCCCCTCAGGGTGAGGTTCTTTGTACTTTGGTTTTTTGATGCAATGGTTATTTGGGCGCCACCTAGTTTCCAAAAACTGGGAAATAAAATTCCAACAAGTATCACTGTTGGGATTCTGGCGTTAAAAGAGATACCAACTCACAAGGTGCACAGATATTTATTGAACAAAAAAATAAAGATAAAAAAATTAAGGAGGGGTCCTGGAGGACAGGCTAACAAGAATGAATTTATGTATTATTCCCCTATCTAAATGGCAGCGCCACCTTCAACTAAGTTAGTTGAAGGTGGCGCTGTAAATGGTTATCAAAAAAAAAAACTTGACTATGTCCGAAAGGCTACCGTTGGTAGGAAGTCTCAGATGTTAACCTAAAGCAGAAGGGTAAAACAGGAGGGTAGTACCCTAAGTAGAAAAAAATACTTGTTAATAAAAACTCGAAATCACGAATTGACTATTAATCCCCCCTTTTAATTTGTTTCCAAGAATTGAAGATTTAACTTTTTTTTACATCGATTCAAAAATGTAAAATTAAAACAAAGTTGTTTAATCACGGTGTACCAAGGAAAACCAGCGAAAATAGAAAAGTGAATGTTTTTAATAAAAAGTGAGTCGCCAGCATCCCTGCGCAAAGTCGTGTCGTAGTGCCGTTTTAATACAAAAGGCTGATTTTGTACGTACGTACTAAAGTGTTCTTTGGTTATAGGACACGAGACATTGATATAAATGGACCTACAGAGATGTACCGCATTTATTACAAATCGCGTAATGTCAATAGCGCCAATCCCATGAAATCAAAAACTGCATTAAAATAGTAAAAAATATATTTAACTCAACTACGACATATCGTACTAATAAGCCCACTACTACATCAATTACATAATGTCTGGTTTTCCAATAGGGACTTGACAACTTTGAACTTTCACTGTGAACGCACCTTTAAGCCAATTACCGAACTGTCAATGTCAAAACATTCAGTAAAGATGACATTTTCATCATGGTGAAGTACACGAAGGAACAAGGTTTACAAATAATTGAAAATTAACTACCGAAATTCCGAGTCGGTGACTGCAACTTTGCCAGTGAGACAAGGAGGTGGTCGAAGTACCGAAAATATTGCTGCCGTTCAAGCTTCAGTCGCAAACAGAACACATCGATTCCAAGACGTTCTTAAGCATTAGGCATCGCTCAGACCATACTATGGCGAATTTTGCGAGATCTTGGTCTGCACCCTTATAAGATCAAGTTGACTCAAGAACTAAAGCCGTTCGATCATATGAACCGACTTACGTTCTCGAATTGGGCTCTAGAAATTTTGCAATAAAATGACCAATCTCATCTTCAGTAATGAGGCGCATTTTTGGCTAAACGGGTTCGTCAATAAACAGAATATGCGTTATTGGTCAGGTGAAAACCCTCATGTGCTTCAAGAAACACCACTTCATCCACAAAATTAATGATGTGTGGTTTCAACAATGTCGGAAAGTGACATGACGTATTTCAGATTTAAGCGCGTTGCATAAATAAACTCCCAGAAAGCCGTCGCTGTGATCCCGTAGCCTGCAAGCCTTTGAGGAATCTCTGGCCTGCGAGTACCAATTGGCGATAGCTTGCCAACTAGGTTGCTCGTAAACTCAGTGCCCTCGGGCTTGTCTACGCGGATGTTAGGTATTGGCTCTTCATCTCTAGAAGCTAATGCCATTACCATATCGCCTGCTATTCCTAAAGAGGGTACTTCCTCGAAAAGGTTATGCGTGGCGACGGTGACACTAGATGAGAGATATCCACCAAATCCCTGAACAACGTGGACGGGCAAAGGAGGAATCTCAAGTTGAGTGTCTTTTCCCATACTCTCGGTGTAATTGCCAATGTTACCAAGATAAATAAACAGGCCAGTGAGACAAGGAGGTGGTCGAAGTGCCGAAAATGTTGCTGCCGTTCAAGCTTCAGTCGCAAACGAACAGAACACATCGATTCCAAGACGTTCTTAAGCATTAGGCATCGCTCAGCCCATACTATGGCGAACTTTGCGAGATCTTGGTGTGCATCCTTATAAGATCAAGTTGACTCAAGAACTAAAGCCGTTCGATCATATGAACCGACGTACGTTCTCGAATTGGGCTCTAGAAATTTTGCAATAAAATGACCAATCTCATCTTCAGCGATGAAGCGCATTTTTGACAAGACGGTGCTACAAGCCACACAGTGGGTGAAACAATCGACATATTGAAATCAAAATTCGATGAACGTGAAATGGTCCTGTCGAATGACCGCCTATATTGTGCGATTTAACACGTCTAGACTTTTTTGTGGGGCTACATTGAATCATTGGTTGATGTCAACAAGCCGGCGTCGTTAGAGGAGCTTAGAGCCAATATTGAACGAGAAATAGCGGCCGTTTCTGTCGAAATGTGTGGCAGAGTCAGTGAAAATTGGGTTCAACGAATCGATCGCTGCGAACGTGCCCGTGGTGGACATATAAACGAGGTCGAATTCCATACATAAATATTTTGAGTATACTTCTATCCAATAATAAAATTTTCGAGATATCTCAAATGGTTTGCGTTTTATTTGAAAAGAAAGATGTCAAGTCCTTAATGGAAAACCATTTACAAGGTGTACTATAAAAGTTTTGCAATATGACTTAACAAACAAACGCATGTTAAGACACGTCTATTGATTTAGTTGTTCATTCGTATTGACACTGTAAAGTACGGACTATGGCATCGTGGTCACGTAGTGAGATAAGGGCAGGTTTACGGTATAACTTTACAGGTGGTTTGAGCATAGACCAGTGCTTAGTGCATTAAAGAATGATTGTCCTTATCGTATGACTATATTCAGGTGGTACAGGGAATTCCAAAGGGGCAATTTCACTCTAAGGACCCTGAGAGGGAAGGAAGACCGCGACTAAGACCGGAGAGTGACATACAAACAGATAGAGGAGACCTTACACCTTCATGTACTAGTAATTTATTCAATTCTGCATGACCTAAGTTTGAGTCTTTGATGATGAGGACACACCTGTAGCTGGCAGAAAATTCCGATCTGTTGAGAAAAAAATGATAGCTGCATTCGAGCGGGATTGTGGATCGTGTAGTTTTGGAAACACTGAAGACACGCACAGCTAAGTTGTACGCGGAACAGTGCCTGACTAAAGTCATAGAGTCTATGAAAAACCTGCGGCGAAAGTCAAGAATGGATACTTGGTACCTCCACCATGTCCAGATCTTGTTCCCGGCGACTTTGCACTGTTTCTGCATGTGAAAATGAAGCTAAAATAAAAATGATTTTCTAGCGATGAGGACCTTCTGAGCACCTGGGACGCGTGAAACTTGGCAGAGCTGGTTTAATTACTGGTTTTAGCGAATGGAAAAGTGTATTCAATGTGGTGGAAATTACTTTGAATGAAGTCAATAAATAAGGCTGTATTACAAAACTTTTTAGTACCCTTTTTAAAATGCAATATACACATACGAGGATGGTTCAAATATGATCGAGATAAATGGTCTGACACGTTTATTTACTATCGAAAAAATTTACAGTTTTTCTAGGGACGTTCACTCACTAGTTACGCATTTTTTCTACCTTCTCGGGAGGTTTTTAATGTCGGTATTGAATAATTCTTTGGGCAACTCGGACAGTCATGTGCGCACGAACTCTTCTACCTCATCGTCGTTGTCGAATCTTTGACCTCCGAGGGTTTCTGTCAGTGCTCCAAACATGTAGGAGTCGCAGGGTGATAAGTCCGGACTGTAGTGGGGGTGTTCCAGTACCTCCCACCCCAATTTCGATATTGTATCGAGACTGAGACGCCCAGCATAAGAGCGCGCGTTCTCCTGGGGAAGAATCGCACTTCTTGCTGGAATGCTTCTCCATTTCGAGCGATAAGCGGGTTTCACCTGTGTTTTTAGAACGTTAGAGTAGTATGGCGCATTGGTGGAACGTTGGGTGCTCAGGAAGTCGACGTACAGCACGGCGAAAGCTGTCTGGTGTGATGCTGGTTCGCGGTCGACGATCATGCAGCACATTCTCGACGGTTTCGCGGCCATCCTTGAATGCTATGGCCCATTTAAACACATCAGCCCTACTCAGGCTCTCACTACAGAAAAAAATCCGTGTTTTTATTGCCTTCACACACTAAAAAACGAATGACAATACGTTGCGCAACGGCGTTCGGCACTTGACCTTCACTCATGGTCGTTAGCACGCGCGTGAAACATGCGCTTATAACGAAAGCTGTGCCACACTGTTCGTAAGGGACGCAGCTATCATATACTCAAGCCACGACCTTCACGACATACATGCGCGCCATCTACAATATTTGTCTCGATCATATCTGAACCGCCCTCGTAATAAAAAATCAAAAACAACTCATATTCAACTGTTTTGTTTCCTAGCTAATCGTAACACTTGTAGAATAACTTCGTCAACGGTCTGATTGTTTAAGAGTTCTTTAACAGCAGAATCATCAATCACAACTGTAAAAAGCAACTTGGCATTTTCCCTCATCCTTCCAATGTAATCAAAGTCCTCATCTGAAGCAGGTTTATGACCACACCGTTTTATAACACTATCCAACACCTGAAAAATGGAATACAAGATAAGGAAAAAGTCTAAAAATGACTCATTATCAAACAAAATTCCTAAACAGTTAATCACAACGCCTGACTTGCAATGGAGTGTTTTTCATTTACACAGAATTGCAGTTTTAACAGCTGAAATAGATTATTTACAACCATTTTTCAAGAATATGTCCGTTTTTTAGCTAGTGTTTTAAAAAATCTTATCTCAAAGTCATACATTAAATCATCTATATTTCTAGCCAGAGAAAATGTCTAATAAGATTTTTTATTATGGTAACAGGTAGAACGTGGCTATAACGTATGTCTCTAAAAGTTTTGGCACAAAACATAATATGTATTCTGTTCAGTTACTGCTAAATAATAGAAACATAAGTAACAAGCCTATGATCACACCAGAATTACAAATCAATCAAGAACAATTATAGATTTGATAATAACGAACGAACAAAATTTAATTGCAAAAGTTATGCATACTCCTAAGATCAGTGATCATTCATGGATATTTTTTGAAGTTTAAAGTAAATTTGATGCTAACAAAGTGCAAGAACTAATATTAACTATGTAAAATTACGAGAAGCTCTTTTACTGCAAGATATGACTGAAGCGTTTGTTGATGACTATATAAGCCTATTGGATAATGTTGAAGTTTGCATAAAAGAAACTAGTCAAGACAACAATTTATAAAAGGATTCTAAATTAAAAAGAGACTACAATTATAAAAAGTTTATGATTACTGGAAGTGAAAATGATGGGCTAGAATACACAAGATCAAGAAACCAATATGTAGCAGTTCTACGAGATGAAAAGAAAAAATATTACAATGCCAAAATTGATCCGAGTAAAAATAATAGCAAACATATGTGGAAAACGTTGAAAAACATTGATTCTCTTATTAGAAAAAGTACATTATCTAAAATGAAATTCGACGATGGGTAATAACAAATGAAGAAATAATAGCAGATCGAATAAATACCTATTTCATAGAAAGTATCAACGACATTGTAAAATCAATTATTGATGGGGATCCCAACCAATGTCTAATTAGCTCAGTTTATAATGCATCATTCAGTGAGTTTAGAACAATAAACATTAATCGTCTCAAGAAGATTATATCAAAAATTAAATCAAAACAAAATAAGAGTGAGATTTTGTCTAAAAGTGTGCTTAATGAATGTTTTGATATTATTGGAGCAAGAATATTAATCCTGATAAATTACTGTTTAAAATATGGCGAATTTAAAACAAAACTGAAGTGTTCTACCATAACTCCTGTTTCTAAAGTTAAGAATTCTGAGTTGTACACCAATATGCGGCAAATAAATGTTCTGCCAGATGTTGAAAAAGTTTTTGAAGAAATTTACGAACAGATCATCGAATTTATTGAGGGAAATAACATTTTAACTAAATTTCAAGCTGGATTCAGGAAGAAACACGCAACTGAAACGGCAACATAAGTGGTTTTAGACTGGAGGAGATGTATGGACAATCGGAAACATACAGTAACAGTGTTTTTGGACTTCAAAAGGGCGTTGGAGACTATTGACAGGGATAAATTACTTACAAAATTGCATCACTACGGATTTAAAGGATCTGTATTCAAAATTCTACAAAACTATATAATTGACAGAAGTCAAAAAACCAAAATTGGATCTACATTATCATAATCAAAAAATATTTCTGTTGGTATACCACAAGGTAGTAAACTAGGTCCACTACTATTTATTTTATACATTTGTAATATTTTAGATTATTGTAAACTTCAGATGTTTCCAGATGATACATTAATATTCATATCAGATGAAAATATAGACACTGCTTTAAAAAATGCTAAATTCTGACTTGGCAAAAATCGTAAATTGGTTAAATGTAAATAAAATCGTAAATTGGTTAAATGTAAATAAACTAAAATTGAATACTTCTAAAAAAAAATGTATGCTAATAGGGAAATACCGAAATAAAAATACTATCACAGGATAAATGGAGAAATAATTGAAAATGTTGAATCAATTAAATATTTAGGTATATATATATATAGTAAACTAAAGTTTGAGGATCACTATGAATACATTATTTCAAAAATTGACAAAAAAACAAAATACCTTTATAAGGTACCTATTCCAAGAAAATAGTTTATAAAACAATTATTCTACCGCATTTACTATATTGTTCAACTATCTTGTTCACTGCCAATGAAGCGGTATTCTCAAAATTACAAGTCTTGCAAAATAAAGCTATGAGAATAATATTGAATAAAACACCAAAATAAAATCTATGTTACAAGAATTGCAGTGGTTGAGTATAAAAAATTTCATATCATATTTGGTTCTTATTTTTATATTTAAAATAAAAAATCATCTTTTGCCAGAACATTTAGAACACTACATAGAATTGAATAATCATTACCACAGTTATTATACAAGAGGAAAATAGATTTTCATTTACAAAATTGCAATAGCAATATAACTAGCAAATCAATATTTCAGAATGGATTACTTGAATTTAATAAAATAAAATAATGATATAAAGTCTACTTGTAATTTAACGATATTTAAAAGAAAATTAAAAGAATATTTCATGGACAATGAAAATCATTAGCGATTCAAATTTTGTTTTTTTTCTGAATGTTATGTAATTGTTTAGTTTTTTAGAAGAATGTAATTGTAGCAATCATGCAAAATAAGTCTTAAACAAACAAACAAGGTAACATTACTGGACACACTTTGCTCCTTATTACCTTATCAACGGGAGCGTCAGGATAACCAAATTCAGCTAAAGAATCTTCTTCCACTAAAAGCATCAGCAACTCTTTGACAGACTCGGTCAGTGTCAATTCATTCCAGACGAGATTTTCTGATAATTTCTGGCAAGATGCTGCATCAGTAGCTGCCTTTAGTAGCTGTTGCTGTAATCTGAAACAATTATGGCGATTAAGGTTCATCGAATGAGAAGGTATATATTCCCATCGATTGACCTACCATAATAAGAGGGTGCATCAAATATGAATCGAAATTTTACAAATACTTTTCTTAGTCAATCACGAGTATACGTCCTTGTATTAGGAGTGTGGATAACGCGTGGTGAGTGGTATTCATAAAACAAAGGATATCCTTGTACTTGCAAATTTTGAAGGAAATCCTCCAGATGGTATTTATAATAATTTGAAGTTAATTCTTTTTCCTTTTTGAGTATCAGCATATCCTGCAAAGCAGTGACATAAGTAAAAGGATATTCATAATCTTCACGTTATACTTGGCATAGGAAGCATATCCTTCAAAAAGTCTGAGTGTGGTCAGTAGCAGAGCCAACTTCGTAACGAAAGGCGGTCAAACGATGATGGCGGAAATTGTGGATGTTAGAGATGTTAAAAGGTACAAACCTCGTTTACCTTCACTTGGTCGTGACTTCAAAAAATTATATCGGTTCGACGAAGCAAATGTACAATGGCTTGCGGACAGATTTTTTGTTAAGAATGAGGAAACTCGAGGAGGAGCACTTTCATGTATTCATAAAATGAAGATATGTCTACGCTATCTCAGTGAACCTGGATATCAACAAGGTATTGGTCAGGAACTTGGTGTTAGTCAAGCAACGGTGTCTCGGACTGTGGATAGAGTTGTGAACAGCATAGTTGCACAGTCGAACGAATGGATCAAGTTTACAACTACCAACCATGAACTGATGGAGGCCAAGCGGATATGGCAAAGCATGTATAAATTTCCGGCAACAATTGGTGTAATTGATTGTACATATATAGAAATCCTGAAACCAAATCGCCATGGAGATGAGTATATCGACCGAAAAGAGATGTTCACAAGTGTTGATGTCAGTTGGCCTGGTTCAGTGCATGATTCCAGAACATGGAGAAATTCACAGACTAGATCACAACTAATAAATAAAGCAAATGTTGAACTACTTGGCGCTGACGGTTATGGCATTGAGCCATGCCTTATGACTCCCGTCAGAAATCCTACTCCAGGTGCAGAAATTAATTATAATAAGCTTTTAAAACAAGAAAGAGTTATAATTGAACGCTGTTTCGGCCAACTGAAACGCCGGTTTCCTATGAAGATGAAGGAAACCATGAGAATGACGAACTTCCTCTCCGCCAACTAGGTCAACAAATAAGAAGAAACTTGAGTATTATAATAAATAGTTTTACTGATTAAAGTGTATTTATACGTTATAATAAGTTTTATTTTTGTGATCATAAGTTACAGGTGGCTTCTTTCAAAATTTCACAGTGTATCATTGAATTATCTAAGAAAAAAAGTAAACAGTTTAAAATCAAATAACAACTGTGCCGAAATCACTACTAAAAACGTGCTGAAAAACTGTTTCGAAATTTTGGGATATCCTGTATTAAATTGGATCAATTGTTCACTGAGAAGCAGTTCTTTTCCTGAAGATTTGAAATGCTCTACAATAACACCAGTTCCCAAAATAAAAAATTCTAAAAGATGCAGCGATATGAGACGAGTAAATGTGTTATCAGACATTGAAAAATTATTAGAGTCCATAGTGCATGACCAATTAATGCAGTTTATAGAAGAAAACAAGATTTTAGTGGAGGCGCAAGCAGGCTTTCGAAAAAAATATTTCACAGAAACGGCTTTCCAGCTGGTAACTGAGAATTGGAGAAGAGCCATAGACTCAGAAGAAGTTGTCATAGCAGTATTTTTGGATTTGAAGAGGGCATTTGAAACGATTGATAGAGATATTTTGTTAGGTAAATTGAAGGCATATGGTATTACAGGAAGTGTTTTAGATTGGTTTAGAAATTATTTGTCTAAAAGGATGCAAGTTACAAAAGTTAATGACACTATTTTATCAAAAATTGAAAATACGTTGGGTGCTCCACAGGGCAGTATCCTGGGACCACTTCTTTTTATTTTATACATAAATGATTTACCTGCCATAGACAAAAAATGCAAAATTCAGATTTTCGCCGATGACACTATGATTTATATAAGTACTAAAAATATTCAGTCTGGTATCTCTTATATAAATGAAGACTTGAAACTTGTCTCAAAATGGTTAGCATCTAACAGACTAAAATTAAATACAAGTAAAACGAAAGCCTTGTTAATCGGAAAAAAAAAACAATGTACAAATGTTCAACTGAATATTGATGGTGAAGATATTGAATTTGTAGAAAATTTTAAATACCTGGGGGTTTTTGTTGACTCGCGATTAATTTTTGATATTCATTATGAAAAAGTTATAAATAAGATTAGTAGTAAAGTGGGATATTTGTCGAGAGTTTCTGGATGTCTGAGTTCATATAGCAGAAAAACTATCTATAATACCATCATTCTTCCAAATTTCTTGTACTGTTCGACTATTCTATATTTAGCAAATAATTGCATTTTTGAAAGACTGTAAATTTCACAAAATAAATGCATGAGAATAATACTAAATAAAGATAAATATACTCCAATTAGGCAAATGCTTAGCAAATTAAAATGGCTCAATGTAAAATTTTTTTTCAAAGATCTTGTAATGATATTCATTTATAAAGTAAAAAATAATATATTTCAATCAAGTCTAACTAATTTAACATCATCAAATGTCGACCATAATTTACATAATACCAGAAATAAAGATGACTTCCATTTAATGACCAAAAAGTATAACATATGCTACAAATCTGCATTTCATCAAGGGTTGATTGAATATAATAAATTATACTCAGAGATAAAAGACCAGAAAACTTTGACAAAATTTAAAGTAAAATTGAGAAATCACTTGTTAAATCTACAATTATAGGTTATCCAGTATTTACATCATTCACCATATGGCTTGAATTTACTAGTTCTAAGTTGTTTATGTAGCCAAATGCTAAATAAATGTTTCTACTACTACTACACAGGAGTATGAAGAAATCTTGAAAAAAGATTGTTTTCTTCGCAACAAAAGGTGATGGATACATAAAATGTGTATAATAACGTGTATTTTTCGAATATTGTAGCGAATCTATTCAATTACTCCTAGAAGAAAAAAACGCAACCCTTCGTTTTTCGTATAATACAACAGTTATCTTTCGGAATGGTTTATGATTTATGTCGGCAAGGTAAATTCGTGTATTTTGCTATGAAATGCCATTATTGCTCACTAAACTAGTAATGGTGGCCGGAAGACAGGTGTTTTGGGATAAACAATTAGAAATTCTCAAAGACTATTTGACCAATCGACTCCAATTTTGTTGTGGTTACTAAGAAGTATAAAGCCTACGGATTTAAAGACTTTCAAGTAGCTGCGTGGAAAAGTTTGCCCACAAAAATTGTTGTACCCATTTTATCCGTCCATGTTTTAAATGCCCCTTGAACAACTTGCATCAATAAAACCAGTTACTACTACTACAATTATTTCGCAAACCAGGGTTATTTTCGTCTAATATGATTAACGATAATTCAAGTATCCTAGTTAAAGAACGAGGAACATTTTACTTACCTCTTTTTCTCAGCGCTAGCCATAATATCTTCCAGCACGTCTCTGTGTCTTGCTCGCATATGCCTGATCAGACAATCTTTTCTTATGAACGCTCTGCCACATGTATCGCAACTGCAAGGAGGCTCCTTTTGATGCGTCAGTTTGTGGAGCTTCAACGAAGATCTTACAGCAAATGCCTTGTTGCATATGTCGCATGCATAAGCTGAAAAAGAAACGATCCATGCAGTAATGCAATGCCTAATGATGATGGTATGTTTGTTTGTTGAAAATTTATTTAGCAGTAATGCTACAATGTCAATTTTGTATAATTATTCGTTTACACATTTTTTTGAATCCATTTTCTGTAATTTTACATTCTTTTCTACTAAAATTACACCACTAATCACTATGCATTTTGAGTATTCATGAAGTGATTTTTTAATTTCACCAACATTTCTAAAATTCGAATACTGTTTAATATCATTATTCAATTTATTAAATTCAAATACTCCATTTTGAAATAGATGCTAATGATGCTACTATTAAAATTTTGCAGATGAAAATCTATATTGCCTCTAGTTTCGTAGTTATGATAATTAATAAATTATTTTTTAGTTTGAATATGAAAATGAGAACTGAGTAGCATATGTAATTTTTCACATTCAACCACTGTAGTTCTTCTATTATAGACTTGATCCTAGCATATTTAGCTTTATTTTGTAGAATTTGTAATTTTGAAAACCTTCAGAAACAGATGGACAGTTATGAACAAATGACAAAAGACATGCAAACAGAGATGACGAAGCTAAAAAATATTCATGCCAATATGTTGAAAACCATTAGTCTTTTGGAAGAAACAAACAATGCATACTCAAGGAAAATAGGCGAATTAGAAGAAAGAGCAAAAGAAGACAGGTGTCGATTGTCGGAGAACTCTGAAGGAAATGCCAACGATCAACAGAATATATTAGACAATAGGGATAAACAGCTGAGGACGACTGAGGAAAATGTATCTTTGTATGATGAACTTTTTAAACAATCCAGGAACAGTGCGAAGACGTCCAAGAAACTGCTCATTGTGGGCGATCAATTGGCCAGAAACTGCGCTAGAGTCTTACATAATTCAATGAAGAGCATAGGCTATATAGTTGAAGGAATTGTTAAGCCCAACACAGAGGCTGCAAATATCACAAGTAATATTTTCACTCAAACTATGGATCATGGACAAAGTGACTATGTAATTATTGTTTTCAGCACAAAAAACATAAGCAACCACAAAACATTGAACAGTTTTCTTAGAAATGTATTACCACTGGGTAAATTTACAAATCTAGTAATTCTTCTAAAGTCCGAGCCTGTAGATGAAGCCTTAGCAGTTCTACTGGAAAACAAAATAACTAGTTATATTAAAAATAACCCCAACTGTTCAGTGAAGTTTTTAGTAGTAAAAAATGGTTTTCGCAAATCACCGGCAAACATCATAAGAAGTCATGTGCAGACGAGCTGCTCTACCCTCAAAAGAAACGTTTTGTTATCGCCTCCAATAATTCCAATTTATAAAATGGAACGTCAAGTGCATTGCAACAGTGATAATCCTGGTGCTTTTTTACTGGCCAGTGGGAATCCGATACTAATCACCTAGTACGACATGATTCGGGTAAACAGAATGTATCGAAAAATTCCTTATCACACGCTCGCGTCTGTGAAGTGCGCACGAATGATTGTCGGTATAAACTTTTACATTTAAACGTACAGTGTTTGAGAAACAAGGTTGATGAACTTGAGTTGGTGGCAAAACAGCACAGTTATGACTTTCTTTGTTTGAATGAGCATTGGTTGACTTGCGATGAGATTAATACTCTGAATATTTGTGAATATATGAATGTGTCTAGTTTTTGCAGGTCAAGCAAAATCCACGGTGGTGTTTGTATTTATGTCAATAATAAGTTTACTGCTAAGCCTTTGTGTGACAAAGTTTTAAACATTTCTGAGGAGTTACACTTTGAGGTTGCTGGTGTCACCTGTTTGGATGGCACACAAATTCTAACCATATACAGATCACCAAATGGAGACTTCAATATATTCTATAATAAGCTTCAAATACTACTCAGCACTTTAGACTATAAGCAAAATATAATCATATATGGTGATTTTAATTTTAAATTTAACACTCACGACAAGCATGCCAATGTGATGTGTGATATTTGTGTTTCTTTTGGACTGTATCAGACTGTGAATGTGAATACTAGGCAGAATGCTTGTCTAGATAATATTCTCACCAATATAAACATGTCAAGCATAGTTGTAGAAGCCTTTGATACATGTTTTTCTGACCATTTAGGTATTGCATTTCATTTTAATTTGAAAACTTTAAAACCTGTTAGGAAGAGAATAAACTACAGGCCTGTCACTGATGAAGGTCTTTTCAAGTTATACAGTAAAATTGAAACAGTCGACTGGATCTTTTTGTCTGATATTAGTTTACCACTGACCACTAAACTCGAACGATTCATGAACATCTTAACAAATAATGTCGCTGAGTGCTTGCCAATCAAATCTAGGTTAGTATCAGAGGGTTGTCGCAACAAAATCAACTGGTTTGATCACGAATTGGCTCAGATGAGAGAGACTTTGGAACTAATAACACAAATTAATAAAGATAATCCCCAAGTAGTATCAAAGAAGGAGATTAATGTATTCAAATCAAAGTACCGATCAGAAATCAGAATTAGGAAAAAAATGCTCATGATAAATATATACGTAGAGCGTCAGATAAACAAGCAGCTATGTGGAACGTGATTAAATCCAATGGTGTGCAATCATCAAAATCACATTCGTCTACTCTCAACGCGAATGATTTAAACTCTTTCTTCGTCAGCATTGCTGAAACCATTATCGCTGAAATTCGAGCTATCCAGTCGAACTTCAAAGATTTTATACAGACTAGTGATACACTACATTTCAACTTTCGAACTTACAAAAGCATTTGATTGTGTCCAACATCACATTTTGATTCAAAAGTTGACGCTTTATGGTTTTAGTAATAATAGCCTGTCCTTAATTGCGTCTTATTTATCAGATAGAAGACAGTATGTTAGTTTTCAAAATTGTTTATCCAACAATGTACATACTCGTATTAAGCACGGAGTTCCCCAAGGAAGTGTCTTGGGACCGATTCTTTTTTTGATCTACATCAATGATCTGCCAAACTGTATATATTATTTGCGGATGACACGACATCAATATCCTCCAATAGTAACTTTGACCTTTGTATTGCTCGATTCTCAGCAGCATTTTGACAATATTCAAAACTGGTTTAATGCCAACAGTTTGTCAATCAACATAGCGAAAACTCAATCTCTTCTACTCAGTACTCGTCCACATAGAAGTAATTTAGTATAGCCCGTGACATTTCTTGGAGTGATTATTGATGCAAGCTTAACTTGGGAATCACACATCACCTCTTTATCAAAGAAGTTATCTAAAATAACATATACGATACGTAGTTTAAATACCTACGTAACAAAATCGACTTTAATGACTGCCTATTATGCTTACTTCCAATCTAACTTGCAATACTGCATACTGATTTGGGACATTCATGTCATGTATCGAAGGTGTTTGCTGTTCAGAGACGATGCTTGAGAATAATAGTAAACTTATAGTTCAGACAGTGTTGCAAGACGACATTTATCGACCTAAAAATTTTAACTGTGCCATGCATACATATACTGGAATGTCTGATCCACGTTAAAAATAATTACGATGATTACAGAACTCCGAAAGAGATTCACAAATATAACACAAGGTTCAACAATGAATTAATACCAGAGTACACAAGACTATCAAAAACTAGACACGGAAGTAATTATTTCGGTGTGAAATTTTTTAATGCGCTGCCCAAGTTTTGTCAAACACTTAACTCAACCATTTTTAAAGCAACTGTGAAAAGATATCTAGTGACGAAAGCTTTTTACAGCATAGATGAGTTTTTAAATAATGATTTTACCGACTTTGTTCCATAATTGTTGACTGTTTATTACTTTGTTTTCGTTTGTGTTTTTTATGTGTTATTTTTGTATTATATTTTATCGTTCTCCAGACGTGTGTAAGGACTTTTGAGTACAAACATGAAAAAATGATTACTATTTCATAATTTTTTAACCATCTTATTTTATTGTTCATCTAAATTTTAAAATAGTTTTATCAAGTTTTTTTTACCTTTAATTGCCACTTTGTGTTTTACGTTTGTCTTATTTTCGTATTGTTTGTTACTTTTACTTACTCTTTTATGTTCTACTTTAAATGACCTGTGCAAACACATTTTTGTGTAATAGTACCAACAAATTATTATTATTATTATTATTATTAATTATTATTTACTGTAAACAAGATACTACAACATGATAGCCGTGGATATCGATCTCTCTCTCCTCAATATCTTCTGTTATATGTGTTTCTATTAAACAAAATATTAATGGTTTCTCTAATACCAAGAAATTTAAAACTTCATCTTTATGTGACAGAAACCCTTGAATGTTTAAGTGGTATAATACAGGGTGGTCCATAAGTCCTTTGAAATTTCAAATTTGAATAAAATTTAACGGGTGAGCGTGAGCGGCGCGGACGAGGTGGGGGCAGTATCTTCAGTGTCTGGGAATTCAGTCGCCATGGAGTGTTTCACTGGAGCGGATCGTGCTTTTTGTGTGCGCGCGTTTTATCAAAATAATGATTCGGCAACCATTGCGCGGCGTAAATATCGAGAATACCACAATTTACACAATTTTACAAAGTGTCCAACAGCTCAAACGATTAAGAACTGGGTTGCTAAGTTCGAAGAGACTGGTTCGACGTTAAATAAATAGCGGTGGGGTCGACCAAGGACAACTCGTATTGAAGAAAACATCAACATTGTTTCACAGTCTGGTCGTCAAAATCCTACCCAGTCTACTCGTAAGCGTTCCAGTGCACTAAACGTACCTAGAACATCTTTACAGCGGATTTTAAGGAAAGATTTACGTCTGCACGCTTACAAAATTCAGTTAGTGCAGGAATTAAAAGATAATGTCGCTATTCAGAGACTAAACTTTGCGAATGAAATGTTGAATCAATTTTCTTCGCTCAATAATGTGTTGTTCTCGGACGAGGCTCACTTCCATTTAAACGGGCATGTAAATAAACAAAATTGCCGTTATTGGAGCCCCGAAAATCCAAGGCGTAAGC